CATCTTTCCCAACATCTGGGTCTTTTCCAGGAAGTCTTCTCTTCTCATGTGGTGGCCAAAGTATTGGAGCCTCAGCTTCAGGATCTGTCCTTCCAGTGAGCACTCAGGGCTGATTTCCTTAAGAATGGATAGGTTTGATCTTATTGCAGTCCATGGGACTCTCAAGAGTCTCCTGCAGCACCATAATTCAAAAGCATCAATTCTTCGGCGATCAGCCTTCTTTATGGTCCAGCTCTCACTTCCATACATCACTACTGGGAAAACCATAGCTTCAACTATACAGACCTTTGTCAGCAAGGTGATGTCTCTGCTTTTTAAGATGATGTCTAGGTTTGGCATTGCTTTTCTCCCAAGAAGCAGGCGTCTTTTAATTTCGTGACTGCTGTCACCATCTGCAATGATCATGGAACCCAAGAAAGTAAAATCTCTCACTGCCTCCATTTCTCAGCATTAGGTAAGCTATATTTTGTAGTTGTATTTTTAAGTGTGTTCACAGAGTCTGTGGGGGTTTTTTTTAGAAAACACTTACAGGATTGTCATTGGCACCTATTAGATATCACTTGTGATGTCAAGGGTGACAAGTGAAATAATCCAATAATGAAAAAGTGAACTGCCAAAGTAGACAATGGCCCACAATACATTCCCAGAAGCTTGAACCACCTGTGAGTTTAACTCATCATCACAATCATCATCATTTTTCAAGGCTGCGTACTCCTCCACTGTACCAGTCTTGCTGGGGAATAGTTAGCTCGTTGGGGTTTTTTTAAGTGAATACCAGTAAAGCTACCCCTGCAAACTCTCAGGTGTCCTGACCCTACCAAGAGGGTCCTCTTGGTAGTTCCACCACCCTCAGAAGTTCAGGGTGGTGGTGGACTGAAAGAGGGCATTCTCTGTGGCAGCTACTAGGTTGTGGAATTTCCTCCCCACAGAAGTGCATCTGGCAGCTTCATTATATAGTTTGCATCATATGCTGAAAACATACCTCTTGACCTTGGGCATCTGACATTTAAGTTAGTTTTAAACTGTTTTTAATACTGAATTTCCAAATTGTTCTGACCTGAGCCCTGATGGTGAAAGGCACACAATAAATTGAATAGCAATCATAATAATGCTGCTGCTGTTGTTGTTGTTGTTGTTTTGCTTTTAATTAGTGCTCTGAAAGACGCGCACTTTCTTTTCAGGCACAATAATGAGCATATAACATCAAATGTATGGCTATTCTGCCCCCACGCTTCCATTCTTTGTAATGGGATATTATGCATTTTTAAAATGAGGACTTGTTGTTAAAAGACTGTAACGGAATAGAGGAACACAATCATTGATGGCTTGGCTGATCCCTCACAAGAATCAGCCAAAATATGAAATACTAATCTATGATACTGTAGATGCATTTTGTTCATTGTCTAAGCCAGTCTTCCCAAACGTGGGGCTCTCCCAGTATTTTGGACTACAACTCCCATAAGCCATGTTGAGTTGCAGCTGGGGGAAGGCTGATCTGAACTGATACTGAACTGAAACAGTATTACTTATCTCAAGATGGATGCACAGTCTGACTTGTCTTTGAATCCTGTGTTTATGGAAGGCAATCAAAGCAGCAACATAACATATTTAGGTGGAATATGTTTGCTTCAGCCACGTTTCCCCTCTTTGAAGCTGAAGAATTACACAAAACGAACACAGGGATGACAGATGTGCATGCTTAGGACCTGTGTCACATGTTAGGGCACACAAGTGGGAGGTCAGGTCCCAATGCCTTACCAGTTGGGATTCATGGTTATGAGTGTCTCTGTACTCCAACTCAGTTTAAGTCAAGGGATATTATTTAGACATTGACACAGAACAGATCTGGAAGCATATGAGGACAATCATAACTTTTTTGCCTTTCTTTGCTAGCCAAAGTAAACTTTTCCGACATTTTCTTTATTTGCAAAGATTTGTTTAGATGATTGATGTTCTTAATCTTTTTTTGAAATCAAATCTACTGAGTTTCATTTATGAGCATTTTTCTTTGCTCAGAATATCCGGTGTATTGCTAATAATCCCATGTATCCTTAGCAATTTGGAAATGTTCTGTTCCCTAGCATTCTAATTAAAAATGACATAAGATCCATCTTTTCTTTCCTCATTATTTCAAGAATTACTCATCTTTGATTTAAGAATCATAGACGTTCATACACACACTTTGTGCAAGAATAGATTAAATGAGCCCCAGACTGTTCTATGCGTAAGACAATGGTGACTAATTTGAACATTTTCATATACAATATGTCACCATAAACTAAACTTACCCTGCATAAATGTTTCTTTTAACCATAACTGTATTTTATTCCAGTGCTGCTGAGTGATTTGTTCAGACCGTACTGATTTATATTGATCACAATTTTATCTGAGAAGGCTTTATTCCACTTTGTCGTTACACTGATTTTAAACCTTCTATTCATTTTTGTTGGTATAATGCCACTTGTTCTTTTAAACTGAAACACATGCAAAATGAACACACCAGAACTATAGGAGTTGTGAAAACCACATTTGGTTGAATAGCGTTTACTAGTAGAAAATGGGTAGTCTACTGCAAAGTCACTATTGGAAGTCCATTGTTGAGAAAATGAACAATGAAATTCCCTAGCACACTTATTGCAGGCCCAGGCACAGGCCCAGTAAGTACATGGTGAGGTCTGCAGGTGCCAAGTAAATACTGGGACACATGGGTTGGATTCAAATTGGAAACAACTCTGTTGATTACAGACAAAAGGGTTCGGCTTAGACATTGAGCACGTATCCAATGATCAACCAGCCCACCTTATGGTTGATGAATATAGATATAGGGGTTCCCCTGCAGTGTGAACTGCATCCAGTGAACCCAATTGGTCAGTGGGGAGGGGGCTATGGCCTACGAGCCCCTGAGTTGGGTGTCTGGACATGAAACACTGCCCTCCAAGATCCCATGTCCCTAAGGTTGTGATGATTGCTATGAGGAAGGCAAAACCTGCAGACCCAGCCTGAACATTTTGCAGGGAAAATTACTCTCTGGCCCTGAAAACAGCAACTGATCAATATCCATAGCAAGGTCTGAAAACCAGGCTGTCACCCTTATGACAGCCATGAAACCATAGCAAAATAGGGAGGGTGGAACAGACAGCCACGTGGGAACTGCAGTGCCAAGTACAACAGAGCCCACATTCTGTTCCCTTTGAGCTTACCTGGATGGGTGAAGTCTTCCCCCAGGGCTGCTCCAGTGGCCCCGCCCACTAGGAACCTAGGTTGGTGCTGATTGGCCCCCAATGTCTTGCAGGATCTCCCTGACCCCAACATGGCCACACAGGGTGGGAAACCAGTCTGCCAGTCAGGCCAAAGCTAGGAGCTGGCTCTCACACACACCCTGTTATAACACTGAGCCTACAATGCTGCTTCTGGTAAGAAGGCAGGTGGGCAGGACAAATCAGCCCGAGTCATGTGGCTGTGCTTCACATTGATTGCAAATTGCATGGAGAGGTACCCATCTGCAAAGTATGCTGCTAGGGTATCATCAGAAGTTCTTACATTCTTATCACACTGTATGACACTCATATCTTTCATCCTATAAAGTTACTGCCTTGTGAAGCAGGGGTGATTATAGAGCTTAGAAATGAAATGATGAATCTGAGTTAGGAAGTATCTCAGAACTTGAAATTTCTAAATGTTACTGGGACTGGTATAATTTACTGTGGGTAGAATGGTGGACAGTGTTTAGTAGCGCTGGCCTGCTTTTTATACCCGGGGAGTGGACCTGAGTGGAGACTGTAACACTCAGGTCCTCTGCCTAAGCCCAGCCCCCCAGGCAGCCATGGATTGGCTGAATTTGAACTGAGGTCCTGGCAGTGCCCAGAATACTCTGCGGTGGCCGCGAAGAAGCGGCAATGATTGTGAAAACATGGCGAGGCTCAGTGGGCATGGGGTGGCACTGTGGCAGGCCACAACCACCACTCACCACTGAATTGGGTAAGCAGCCATTCCCTTTTTTATTTTAAACAGCACATGAAGTTCCATTCCGTGGATCCTGTGGTATCCCACTATCTGTAATCTGTTTATAAATGAATGTCACAGGCTCATTATTCCATATACAGTGGTACCTCGGGTTACATACGCTTCAGGTTACAGACTCCACTAACCCAGAAATAGTACCTCAGGTTAAGAACTTTGCTTTAGAATGAGAACAGAAATCATGCTCCGGCGGCACAGTGGCAGCAGGAAGCCCCATTAGCTAAAGTGGTGCTTCAGGTTAAGAACAGTTTCAGGTTAAGAACGGACCTCCAGAACGAATTAAGTACTTAACCCGAGGTACCACTGTATTGTAATATATATCTGGAATACAAAGCTTACTCTAAAATCAAGCATTGTACTTGTATTCTTCCTATAATGAGGTGCTCTGCCAAAGAAGATTCAGACATGCAGCTACAAAGGAAAATGTGTTCTGCATAACATCCCATATTGACCTTTCTGGCTCCTCTCAACATTTTGCAGTAAAAAAACAACCCCATGTTGATACCAGAGTTGGATCACTGGTATGTTTTTATATACAACTTGTTCTTCCCACTCATTTGCTCATAAACAAACTCAGCTCCAGGCCAAGTCTGCATCTGCCAGTCCTATCTGTATGCTACTGTTGTATATTTCCTCATGCTCCCTCAAACACATCACACTAGTGCCTCTTTACACTGCAGAAAAATGAAATAATGTTCTTTAGTTGTCTCTTCTGTTCCCAGTGTGATTTGTGGCTGGTGAAGAAGGCAGAGAAGGTCGAATATAGTACAATGAAAACTAAACTGAAACCTAAACTGTTAGATGCCAGACTTCCCATTGTGACCTGAGCACTCCATTACGTAGCCCACAATTACCAGGGTGAATTCCTCCCTCCCCACATTTTGAAAACCATAATCATATGTTAACTCATGAAAATATGTCTAGAGCGTGAAAATCTAAACCGGTGAGAAAAACCAATCACATGCACAGGTGAAGAACTTGTGTGAAATAATTTTTATATCACAGAATAGTAGGCACTTAAGTGAAGCAATCAGTTTAAAAATAATGATTTTTAAGTAAGATTAATAGACAATATTCATATATGACATGTTAGATCTAAATGACCTTTAGAGAAAGTTGGACTAAGTTCTACCTGAACAAGACAATAAGAAATAACAAGCATCCAAACCTCTGCTGAAACTTATTAAAAAGGGATCACAGGCTGAAATAAATCTACATTAAACACTGAAAGACAAGGTGGCTAAATATTCATAGAAAATCTCCTTCTGGTAGCACTGACTCAGAGGGAGCACCATTGTTTCCTTCTCCTGGTTTAAAAGGGGTCGGGGAAGCACACAAGGAACCTAACAGCACTGGGAAATTGCACAGACAAGCACAGAATTGAGATAATAGTGACAAGGTCCACGTTATGTTGAATTGTGTGCTTCTGCCAGAGCTGGTGAAGATAGAATGCAGGCAGGCTTTTAATGTTGAATATGGGAATGGGAATACTGCCAAAAAAAAATCTCTCAGCAAAAAGAAAATGATTTGTTTACAGTTGCTAGACACCCTTGCTAATGAACAGACGAAGAAAAGATACAATATGTGTTGCGAAAAACAGGTTCCATGTTTTACTAGCAGGAAATGCAGAGGATGATAAATTTAACAACAAAGGCTTACAAAAGCAGCATTTACTCAAATGCTACAAAGACTTGTTTCTCTGACATTTGAATCAATCCACCATATGTTATTTATTTGACTGGAGATTTTTTTTTGTATAACAGTTTCTGCAACAATAAAAAAAGAGACAGTGGTAAATAGCTAATTGTTCCGAGCATTATCTGTTCTTTACTGTAAAAGGTAAAATAACTAAAGATTTTTTAAACATGCTTTGGTATTTGCTCACACAAGTCTATATCCATGCAAAATCTGTGGAGAGGCAAAGTGAATTGTGAGACAGAGGAAGGCCCCCACTCCGCAACTACAGAGTGATTATTTTGGGATGAAGGAGAGAACAAAAGAATAAGTTTTGGTTCTCTGTTTCTAGAAATGGGGAAGGATTAGGTTCACTCCACGATTTGGAAACCTTCTCTCTAGTCTGCATCTGACGATCAGGCTCGGATCAGAACGTAGACATGTGGCTTAGATCACACATCTACAAACCTTTTGAACAGCATGGTTTGATTCAACATATATTTCTTTGTATGAGGTGATCTGAAGGGCTTCCTGGTTCATTCTTTCTTTTAAACGGCTTGCAGCTGCTTGCAGCTGCTAGAAAGAACAAGGATTGCTGCACTTGTTGAAAATGTTTTAAGTAAAAAGCCCCTGGAAGAAGCAGTACATTATGATGTTCCAACTGTTCCTTGGTAATTGTATGGAGAAAAAGGTCACTAACCTGAGGCACTTATAGGGACATTCTACATGGGGGCGGCCATCTTTTCCTCCATACAATTACCCAGGAAGCAAGATTTGTACACAGCTACAAACAATTTAAAAGAAAGAACCAGGGGAACCCTTGCCCCACATCATAAGTACTGTACTTACAAAACAATTTCCATCAGTTGAAAGCATGGGATTATTTAAAAGGGTTTTCCCTTAAAACTTGCATGGATTTGGGACAAGTGAACTATTCAAATGCGTAGACTGGATTGTGACTTTTTTGTCTATCTCAATACAGTGGTACCTCGGGTTACAGACACTTCAGGTTACAGACTCCGCTAACCCAGAAATAGTACCTCGGCTTAAGAACTTTGTTTCAGGATGAGAACAGAAATTGCATGGCGGCAGTGGAAGGCCCCGTTAGCTAAAGTGGTACCTCAGCTTAAGAACAGTTTCAGGTTAAGAACGGACCTCCAGAACGAATTAAGTTCTTAACCTGAGGTACCACTGTACTGCAAGACCCAGATCCCTCCCATTTTATATAACTATGGCCTCCTATTGTCCCAACAGCAGCTGTTAGGTTTAGGTTCAGCAATAGCACATGAAGGCAAGTTCAGTTCTTTCTCTGTTTCAATTCCAGGGATCACCATGGAGAGAAGGCAGGACTCACCTAGAAGCAACTGTCAGCAAAGAAGGGAATTATGCATGTGACAGCAATGGTTGGAGCTGTTTTGCAGAGGAGGCAGCATTTTATCTCAAATCCCTAATACTTTCCACTAAGGTAGGGAATCATTATCTACCAGTTCTCCCAAGCAGTGCCTCTCTTGAAACAAATAAAGTCATGGAAGTCATGGGAAATAAAGGGAGTGGCATGGTTATAATGGGAACTAAATTTCTTCTTACTAGTAAATCACTATCTGAAAGGCAAAGAACTTCCACCTGTCTGCTAGTATATTGTTTATTCAGAAGTGTTGTATGTGCAGAAAAATAGAATCTCCCCAACTAAAATGATCAAACATGATAAATGTTAAGTTTAAAGGGCATACCATCTGCAGAAATTCAATTTCCGTTTGAAGAGCCTCACAGGCATTTTCCATTTCATCTTCTCTGTAACTCTCCAATTTCTTTTTAAGCCTGTGCCAACATTTAAAAACAAAACACCTGATATGGTGAGGCTGTCAGCTGAATCTTTCTCTTCTTCACAGCAGTCCTAGTTCTTAATTCAACCTTGATCATCCTAGCTGTCTCCCATTAAAAGTCCTGTAAGCTCCCCAACAATGTGTGGATCACATGTCACTATCCAGTTATAAATCAGAGAGACTAAAGTTTGCTAGATTGCTTGATGTGATTTAAACTGCATTACCCAAGACTGTATAAATCACTGCACAGTACTGGCAATTGTTTAGTGATGTGAAGAAATTAGACAATCTCCAGGAAGAATATATATCTCCATAATAAGTGCTGTAAGACAAGCTTAAGTTAAAAGACTGTATTTTTTTCCTCTGTGGGTAGTGTGCATATTATAACCTATGACGAAATTATATCCTATTCATTCAAAAACTTCTTGATTTGAATCTTTGATCCTTGCCTTTTATAAGTTCTTATGAATCTTGTTCCCAGAGTTAGTGATGTTCTCTGCCTATTGCTTACCTTCTCCAAGGGTTTCAACAATCTCTTTCCCACTGCCAAAAGATCAGGTCATTCTTTAACATTTTGTGGAGCATATTTTAAGTCAGGAGTAGCCAATATGATGCCCTCCAGACACTGTTGTGTTACAAGTCCCATCAGCCTCAGCCAGCATGGCCAATAGCCAGGAATGATGGAAGCTGTAGTCCAAAACATCTGAACACCATCATGTTGGTCACCGTGTGTTAAATAATGGATTGCTGGTGGTGCACCTCTCCTCCAATTTACTTTAATGAAATCTACGACATACATTCGAGGTTCTCAACTGCTTAAAAGGGAAAAAGACATCTAGTGTCTAATATTATAGCTACATGGATCTTCTGTACTGTCTGGATCATGACACTATCAAATCTCATTGCTTCTCATAAATTACTATGCTTTTGTGTTATTTTACAGCATAAAATTTTTAGAATCTCATGAAAAGATACTGTGTAGCAATATGCATTGCCTCATGACACAGAAAATGTATTCCAGATGCTCAAAGATTTCTTGCTGCAAATGTGTCAGCACCACAATGCACAAAGGTTATGTCCCACTGTTGTCCCATTTTCCAGAAAAGGGAGAAAAATGCAGGCAAAATATGAGGAGCTGACCAATATCTTCCATGCCAGGAGGCAGACCAATGCCATTTTAATGTTGACTGCTGGAAGAAAATGCTTTTAAAAACAAACAAACAAAAAACAAACCCCAGAAATATACAGGCATCCCTCCCACTTGCACATGATCAACTTGCATGTGATCATGTATACATGCAACACCAGGAAATAATTAGATGATTTAAGTCATACCAGGAAATGGAGGGAAAGAGCTGGAGAGTCCCCGTGGTTTGCAAGAAGACCCTTCCTGGAGCCCAGAGGACTTCAGTGAGGGAGGAAAAGAGACTGGAGCAGCAGCGGGGCTTTGTTTAGGCTGCTCAGCCTCCCCACTGAACAGCTGGTTTGTAGGGTACTGCAACAGCAGCCACTTTCCTGAGCATCCTCCTGCCAGCCCTAGCTTCAATTTCAGTTGTGGATATTTTTGGTACAGTGTTTCTGATTTTGGGACAGTAGTATTTTGGAGAGAAAACGGCAGAGAGGGCATTTAAAGAGTGCTCCCTAGTTATGCAATGTTCAGTTATGCATGCAGGGCCCGGAAACATAACCCCCACATATGTGGGAAGTCGTCTGTAGTGTGAATGGGAGAAGAGAATATAAGAGACAATCTCCTTTTCCAAAGGTTACCATGTGTTTACCCCAATCCCTCTGCCAATAAATCCCTCTACGTTGTAGAGAATGTTCAGGCATTTTCTAAGGTGCACACTCTCAATTCCTGTGGGACACACAAAATGTTTTACCTAGAACAGTGTTCTACAACTGCATGTTAAAGTCGATTATTAGTAGTGGCAGGCAAGCAGACATTCACCAATCATCACCTTGAGAAGCCTTCCCCAATGTGGTGCCCTCCAGATGTTTGCGACTCCCATCATCGTTGTTTGTTATCAGGAGGGCATGAAGTTAGGGGAAGTTGTTCTTCAGGAATACCTGGTAAACTTCTGAAAACCTTAGGTTCCCTGGAACATAGCTTCCACATAATGTAGGAAATTGTGCTCTTTGAGACTACATTGCATTCTTACAGAAACATTAGTAAGAGCTTTCCTTGAAAAGAGGAATTATAGTTACAGAGAGCAGCAAAAGATTCACTTTCCTGTTGGACACCAAAAATGTTTTGCAGAACAATAATCAATACTGCACGTTAGTCAGTTTTAGATGAGCCTTCTTTAAAACGAAAATAAGTTTGAATTTGACAGTAAGTGCCACATGGGGAATGTTGTGAGCATGGTATGCAGTATATGAAGTGTTCCACCAGCACAGAAACAAGTTCCTACTTTAACACCTGCATAACATTTCATCAATGGCAAAGAAAGAAATTAATACAGAAACGTCCAATAAATAGGCTATATTTTGGTGGCAGAAGACTAAAGAAATCTACTGATGTTTGGGGATTACGGCCTTTTTATTCTGGCTTGTTCTATGCAGCATCTGGATTGAAGAACAGGCAGGCAGCTCACTGAGTGTCAGCAGCAATAACAAAAGCAGAGCAGAAATGGCGACTAATATGGGAATGGAAGCTTCTTTATATGGGATGTCTTCTACTTGGGAATGGAAAAGCTCTGAAACTAAGGAGTCCATATACTGAGTACTACCCATTATATTTGCTTAAGTGGATACTTGCTGGACCAAGAAAAAGCTATTTCAGATCTTTTAATGGTCCACAGTATATGCAGCAATAAAGTTATACTGCAGTCCTTGTCATACCTGCCAGAAGATAGTAAAATGGAAGATAAGTATAAAGTTGTGTTAAACCCATTCATGATAATAGAGGAGCAATTTCTGGGGTCACCGTGGTTATTTTGGGATTGCTAAGTGAGCCCATATAGGGAAAGGATTGTATTCTGGTGGTAGTAAATATAACACAGTGGGACCTCGACTGAGATTTTATATATATTGAATGTTAAGAAGATTCAGAAGCTTACCTTGTATATAAACAACATTTCATTGCTTAAATATTACTTGGTAATATCTCTTCCACACAAAAGGGTTATGCTGAACATAATGGCAACATGTAACCTTGAATTAAAAGGAGTAAAAGGAGTACTAATCCAAAACCCAGCTCCATAGTTCCACTTTTTGTCTGCTTTTATTTGTATATGGTGGTTCCTATCACTTGCAAAATTGTCTTTCTTTCTTTCTTTCTTTCTTTCTTACAATTACATTTCTTTGTTAACTAGGAACAGATGTATTTTCCCAAGTACAGCTGCAGTGTATGTGCCGGTTTAAAGAAGAAGTCCTAAAATGAGCATGTGCAATACCCTCGATCTTCCATCACATCATGCATTTTTGCCTTTAAAAAAAGGCACAGGCACAAAGCCCCTGAGCCTGATCCTATGGTTGTTTTTTGTTGTTTCTGCTATGCACTGCAAACAATAAGATCTGCCAACCAATTCATTTACCTTACGGAAATATAGTTTCAAGGATGGCAATACTGTTTGTGTCCTGATTTAGCTTAAGCATTTGAGATGGCCACAATACAACTAATGTATCATACACGTCTATGATTTGGTGTACTTTTGCACCTGATCTATTGAGTCAGATAGCGCACAGCAGTATAGCATAAGACAGTCAAACAGCTGTGTAAGACTGGTTCTTTGCTATGGCCAGGCCCAAGGGCCCACACACATCCCTACTAAGAACACAGGACCCCTCCTGGGTCAGAACCTGTTTACTAACAGCCATTCCCTCTTGTCTGTCCCTTGCGTCTGGTGCTCAGAGTCCAGGAATGCCGCAAATTTGCAGAGTCTGTTCCAGCTGTAGTGTAGCTCAGACGCACATGCAGGAACATGATTGATGTTGAAGAGGCCAGGAACCACCTTGGCTGTGAATCCTGGAACACCTGCTCCCTGCCTTGCAGGCCTTTTTCCACCCAAGTGGAGCCCAGACTGGCCCTGACTACAAAAGCTGAGGCTGCTGAACAGACTCTTCAGTGGTGTTGCTGCGGCTGCTGCTGCTGCTGCTGTTGTAGTAAGGTGTTGCTGCAGTTTTTTTGTATCTTTGTTTTAGATCTTCTTGTGATTTATGTGGAAATTGTTCTGTTAGGTTGTGTATTTTTTTAATGTTTTACTGATTGTTTAGGACTACTTTTGTTATGTTGTAGTTAAGTATTTTTTTAATGTTGCAAGTCACCTTGAGCATGGTTTGAACAGTGGAAAGGCGGCAAACAAATAAAAATATGGATGTATGTATGTTGCTTTTGCTTGAGCTGTTAAGAGAAATGTCTAATTGCTACTTGCAAAGTGCTCTGAAGCTGTAAGGCACTAGATAAACAATTACGCATTTGGTAGAAACATTTGCTTTTCTCGCTGAGTTTTGCAAAAGGCAGTAAAAGACATTTTTGTTGCTTCATGCTCCCATTCGGCTGCTTGATTTATATGGTTAATTCTTTGTTTTGTTTTGTTTTAAATAAAAAGCTAGGTAATTTCAATATACCCCAGACCTATCCCTTCAAGAAACAGGGAATGTATCTGAAGTTACAGGCTGCACAATCAATGTTGTGGAGACACTTAAGTAATGAATAAATAATGGAAATTTATCATTAAGTCTGGAGTGAATGAAAATATTTAAAGTTATGCTTAACCAGAAATTTGTGAAAGTTTAACACTAAAGTAATAACAAGAATATTAACCATATATAAGGTTCACTATTTGATGCACTTTAAATGCAAACTTTAAATGGGATGAAAACATACTATGAATATTTCACCATTTGTCTGAGCAGGACAAAATGCATCTCTGAGCAAAGTTATTAAATGCCAAAGACCTTACTGAGCTAATGTGTGCATACTGTGTTTCAACAGTTTGGTCAATTAGCAACATTATATTATGTATATTTGTTTAATAATTCTGTGGGTTTAGGTCTGTTTTACCTAATTTTTTATTAAGTACACAACTTAGAGAGCTCTTTGACTCAGTGTTTTATAATTATTTCTAAAAAATTAAGTAAATAAACAAAATCAGCATGAAATAGCTGGATTTGAAACTAAGGATATTCAATCCAAATACCAGTTAAATGAATGTAGCCTGATACAATCTAAAGAGTATTGTATAACAATGTGAGAGAGTGACTTTTAGAGCAGTCCTTAACTCCTTGCAACATGGATGTTTCTGTTTCCTGTTCAATGGGAAGAAGAGCTTCTACTAGTTATCTTAATATAGTAGCACTGTTCTTTCTATCCTTTTAAAGGAAGGAATAAAGATTCATTTTAGATTCTTAAAGGGTATAGTTATATTTTAACTGCCTTTCTCCCACCTTGCTTTTCTCGCGGCCTGTTAGTCTCAGCAATCAGCCTAACCATTCAGTAAGACTGGTTTTATTTTTGCTCTGAAAATCTATGCTTCAATAATTACTGTGAGATTTTGGAAGCTTGAAATGAGTTGATCCAATAAAAGATTATTTCCCATACTATATGCATCTCAACCAGCAGAACCATCACTTTTCTGAAAAGTCTCCACAGCAGGAGCGGAAGATATAGGTCTAGAGGAGGACTGTTCTGGCCTAACACATTTAAAAAAGGGTTACAGACTAATTCTCAGAAACCATTTGCCTTTTTAAAAGACCTGAAGCTTGTGCGTGCTGATCAAAGGGCTTGAAGGGCTGCAGGGGAAAACTCATGAGCAATTGGTATTCTACAGTGGTGCCCCGCAAGACGAATGCCTCGTAAGACGAAAAACTCGCTAGACGAAAGGGTTTTGCGTTTTTTGAGTCGTTCCTCAAGACGAATTTCCCTATGGGCTTCCTTCGCAAGACGAAACGTCTTGCGAGTTTGTTTCCTTTTTCTTAAAGCCGCTAAGCTGTTAATAGCCGCTAAGCCGCTAATAGCCGTGCTTCGCAAGACGAAAAAACCGCAAGACGAAGAGACTCGCGGAACGGATTAATTTCGTCTTGCGAGGCACCACTGTATCTCCAAAGCCATGGGTAGGCAAACTAAGGCCTGGGGGCCGGATCCGGCCCAATCGCCTTCTAAATCCGGCCTGTGGATGGTCTGGGAATCAGCGTGTTTTTACATGAGTAGAATGTGTGCTTTTATTTAAAATGCATCTCTGGGTTATTTGTGGGGCATAGGAATTCGTTCATTATTATTATTATTTTCAAAATATAGTCCGGCCCCTCACAAGGTCTGAGAGACAGTGGACCGGCCCCCTGCTGAAAAACGTTTGCTGACCCCTGTGGACCAAAGCTAATGAAGTGACTACTCACATTCTGGTAGTTGTAACAAAGGTCACGAATTGGAAGTGCTCTTCCAGGCACCTTCATCACCGTCCAAATACTGCTTATGCAGTAGTATGAGGGAATTGTGCACTAATACATAAATATCAACACAACCCACTATAAATTAATAGTCCTTAATCCAGCATATAGGCAGCAGGAAGAATGTCCAAAATATTATATTTGTGAGACATATAAACTGGAGTAATGTTTACAGATAACATTACCAAACTGGCAATACAAGGGCATTCTCATGAAGTCAGAAGTTTGGGAACCTGAACCCTGTTGGTTCAGCCTCTTGTCAGAAGTACACTTTTTTGTAAGTAAGTAGTACTCTACCTAACAAGCCTGATATCACTCATAGACAGAATGCTTTCTAATTGAAGAATTTTTTGTGAGGCAAAAAACATTAACCAAGTGACTAAAGATGCAAGCATCAAACTTCAAAGCTGGAGACAAATATCACTTGTGTTCATACCTACTAAAACTTACGTAAATTGACAGACAAACCCTCTCCCAAACTACGTTTCCTGTGTATGCATTTGTGTAAGGAAAATTACTCCCGAGCAAATTTCCAATGACAGACTTTACCCTGGAGCACGTTTTTATTGTTGGATTATAAACCTTGAAATTGGGGTTCATAATAGAAACCCTGACACAATTCTAACTATAATAACCCCACTGGGCATTGGTATAAAAAGTTTTAAGAAATCAGTTAGCACATTGTCATTACAGAAACTCATTCAGCACCCCAGAGATTACTCCAGAGATGGGTATTTCTTGCTTATAAAATTTAACATAAAATTAAATTGAACATATTTGTTCAAAACCAACAGAATCATGGCCCTCGGCAATGCACTGTTAATATGAAGGATTTGTTCAGCTCTAGTGGACATATTTCCTGGATGATTTATGTGAATGCAGTGTCATTTGTTCTTTCATGGTTTCAATAATGAGCTTTCTTAGGCTATAATAAGAAATGTAAGAAGCAATCCTAGTTCTTTCAGATTAGTCAAGTAAACAAACAAACAAATGCCTTAACTATTAAATAACACAAAGCAACTTCAAACTATTTCAATATTTCCAGGCTTCTGAAAAGAGTGCAGAAGTTCACACTCTAAAAAGAGAAAACCCTTCTCTAAAATTTCCCTCTGAAATGGACTAACAGAAGAAGAATGGGGAAAAGCAGAATGCCATTCAAACTTCTAACTGTAAATGAATCCAGTCGCCTCATTTTATCTATGAATTAAAATATAGCTTTAACCTGTTCTTATGGGGGGGATGGGACATGAAAGGCAAATATAAACCGAGGTTCTGCTTTTTTAGTATTTGTGCTTTCCCACTAATCTACAATAAATTAATTTTGCATATTTTGATTCGCTCCTCTTTTCACTCTGTTTTTTGTGACTTACAGTTAATAATAATTACATTTTGGTTCACCTTAAATGGGTGGTATATACTGATAGGATAAAATACATTTCCTCTTCTAGGCAATATACTCAAATGCTTTTAAGGATTGTATGTTAGTAGCTGCAGCACTGATATACAGATGTTGCACACAGTATGATCTACTACACAATAAGCTTTTAAGGAATGGGAAACTCCAGGTGTTGTTGAACCCTAAATCCCATCAACTGTAGCCATGATTAGGGATTATGCAGGGCAGCTGTAGTGAAGCAACATCTGGAGAATCACAGATTCCCCAATACTATGTTAAACATTAACTCTCCTCACATGCAGTTAGCATCAATGTGAGTAGAGGGTTTCCTGCAGCGTGTTTAAATTGGCCCTGATTCCAATATGTAAGAAGTAATCCTAGTTCTTTGAGATTTGTCAAATAAACAAACCCCGCAAGTGACATATAGGTTTATGCATGTGAAGGACCTCCAGTACCAGGGCCATGTGTAGGAAATAATTTATGAACCAGAGAGTCCATGCCAACACCAAGCAAAGCGGGTCCCACAAGTACAAATCAGAATTCTCTCCATTCTTTTTCAAGGAGGGAAACTGTGTGAGGTTTGGTTGTCAGTGTGGATGCCTGGCCCATATGTTACTTCTGCATATGGCTGTGAAAATGGGGCTGCTTTGCATGGGATAGTTTTAAACATATTGTGGTGTTGTCTTCACAAATCATATGCCCACTGTAGGACAGACAAAGCAAATCAGATCATATTATAGGTGTCTCAAACTGACACCATATGTCATATTGCTGGAGAGTTAGGCCTGAGTGGTGCATTCTGAAATACCAATTTGCCCCAGAAAATAAATGTATCACAATAGTACTAAAAGCTTTAGGCAGTAGGTAACCATCTTTATGCTAAACCTTTTACAGTCCCACAAATAAGCTTTCTTCTAAAGAATGCACTGCTTTATGACACGTTTTCATTTGGCTTTTACACTTAACATCTTAAAGCTCTGTATGTTGTTAAAGCTGTTTTGAAGTTGGTGGCTAGCATGCTGAGAATACAGTGAGATTCTGCAATTGATTTTCATGGAAGGAAATGGCAGCATTTTGTCCTGACACATGATCATATAATCCAGTAGGATAATGGGCCTTCTTCAAAGCATGCTACATTCTAGTTTGATGGCTTGGTGGATCTTTGCTGTCAGTGGAATGCATTTTGTTACTGTAATATTTCTTTCAAACTAGCAGGACACTTCAAAGCATCTGAATCCTCTGCTGTGACACCTAACCTGCCACAACTGGTGTGAAAATGAAAGCATCTTTGTGAAAATGTCTACTAATATTGAAACCCTTTTACTACTGTAGGCACTTTTCTGAACAAGGCTTTTTTTTTAAAGGACCAATTCTTCTTTCATCATTAATAAAAAAAGATGTCCGTCATGAATATAAATGAGGAAAGGGGAAAACAAAACGCAGGTTTGGCTCCAGAAAATTTGTGAAGAGCAAATTCAAGTTGGTGTGAGCTTGCTTCTGGTTATACCCTGGTAACAATGATTTTAATGGAACTGTGGCACAGGATTGTAGCTTAACAGTCCACATGAAATATGCCGAGCATTTTTCAGGGAGTCATTCTGCTTCTAATGACTATGCCTGTCTCAAGGTCTAGCTTGCATCTTAGTTCTATAATACAGGAAAAGTAGCTAGAGTGCGAAGACCTCAGTATGCACAGTCAGATCCTGGAAAGACTCTTGACAGCAAAGATGGCTGAGTCACTGTTAATTCAAAGGCTCCTCAAGCTGCCAGGTCTTCAATAAACATCATTCTCTCTCTTCAAGATGATACAACATTTTTGCTTTCTTTATTTAGTTACAAAATTAGTAAAAGAAGGGGTTTCAGCTCAGACGTAGATCACATGTACTGCATATGTTCAAGTCCTATTATTATCTTTGTCCTAGACCACTCTTACCTCACTTGACAACCTTTTATTGAATGCTTTGCAGACTAGACGGCTAGGAATAAGCATGGTACCTGACCTGCTTGTTTCTTATCTTTGTTACAGCTACCACCTACAGACTATGTATGCTGGTGAGCACTGGCTCTGATGCGCCAGAGAGGTTTGTCAGTAGAGGTGTCACAGCCTTCTCCTACTGGGACAGCTGCAGGAAAGTTTCTTCCCATCACCTAACATCGTATGGTGCCATGCATGAGACAGGTAAACCCACATGTTAAACTGAAAAAGAACAACTGGGAGTACAATCCTAAGTCCAGCTGATGGTAGAATTTGGTGCTTTTTTCTGTCGCCTTCTCCCAGGATGGAGAAGGCTAAAACATCTCTACTGGTGACAAACATCACTGGTCTTGAGGCAACAGAAAAAACTGCCTAATTGAAAAAAAAAGGGGTGAATTATAGATGAAAAGAATCAAGAGCGTACTTAAGACAGCTATCCCAATTTTTTTGTTGCAGCCACAGCCTGAATTGGTATGATGTCCAAGAAACCTGTGAGAGGTGGGGGACTTCTGAATCTGGCCCACTGGCCAGATCAAGTTCCACAGCCCTTCTTCAGACAAAGCAAAGTTGTGGGCGCTGCTCTAAACAGTGGCTTGGCTGTGTTCAGCAGCCTGGCTGGCCCTCATTTTCCAAGGGCTTAGCAGACTGCCCAATGGAACAACACAAAATGGTAACATAATTCCCAGAGGAATTTCTATAGTTAAAAAAAGAAAAAAACTACATCAAATTGGAAGTACTCCCACCTGAAAGGTGTGGTATTTGACCACCCTCAAAGACTGTACAATCCTGTGAAATTACTAAATAATAATAATAATAATAGGGACGCGGGTGGCGCTGTGGGTAAAACCTCAGAGCCTAGGGCTTGCTGATCGCATGGTTGGTGGTTCGAATCCCCGCGGCGGGGTGAGCTCCCGTCTTCCGGTCCCAGCTCCTGCCCACCTAGCAGTTCGAAAGCACCCTTAAGTGCAGGTAGATAAATAGGTACCGCTTTATAGCGGGAAGGTAAACGGCGTTTCCGTGTGTTGCGCTGGTGCTGGCTCGCCAGAGCAGCTTTGTCACGCTGGCCACGTGACCCGGAAGTGTCTCCGGACAGCGCTGGCCCCTGGCCTCTTAAGTGAGATGAGCGCACAACCCTAGAGTCGGACACGACTGGCCCGTACGGGCAGGGGTACCTTTACCTTTACCTAATAATAATAATAATAATAATAATAATTCATCTGGTCTTGGCTGCACAGCAGTCATGTTAGTGAGGCAGTTTCATTAGCCATACTTTGAAACTAAACTAAGCTGTTCTATATTTAATTAGTTCTGTCTCCAACAAGATTCCAAAGTGTGTATTGTCCTCAAAAAAGAAACAATTAAAAAAAATCGAACAATTTAATCAGTCAACCAACTCCTATGGAAGTGTGTTATTTTCCTGCTGAATTGTCTTCTTGTCAGGTCTATTGATGTTATGCCTCTTTCATTCAATGTTAAGAGATACATAATGCAAAACAGCTTATCATTTTGAAAGACCAACCGAAATCCTTTTCCTTCTGGAAACTACCTCTATGCATCAAAATGTAATCAAAGCTAACTAAAGTAATAGCAACTCTTGGTGCATGTTAGGAGGTATTATCTGTAAGATTACTTTCTTAATCTACAGATGTTGCATGAAACACACCAGGCTCAGTTCTTCAACTAGTTGTTATACTTGCGTCCTGAATTAAAATTCAAGCCACAGAAGAATTACCAGCATAGCCCACTCCACAAGTGCCAGCAGGCCAACATCCATCCAAACTTCAGGTTAGGTAAAGGTAAAGGGACCCCTGACCATTAGGTCCAGTCACAGATGACTCTGGGGGTTGCGGCGCTCATCTCGCTTTACTGGCTGCGGGAGCCGGCGTTTGTCCGCAGACAGCTTCTCAGTCATGTGGCCAGCATGACTAAGCCGTTTCTGTCGAACCAGAGCAGCACATGGAAACGCCGTTTACCTTCCCGCCAGAGCGGTACCTATTTATCTACTTGCACTTGGATGTGCTTTCGAACTGCTAGGTTGGCAGGAGCAGGGACCAAGCAACGGGAGCTCACCCCATCGCGGGGATTCGAACTGCTGGCCTTCTGATCAGCAAGCCCTAGGCTCTGTGGTTTAGACCACAGCGCCACCCGCGCTTTTCCTTTAACCTCAATTTATCCAGTCAGGTCACTGGTAGCAAGACTAGCATACCAGTCCCAGTACTGGAAAAAGAAAGGTTTCACCTCCACCACCACCAACCTTGGCATGCAGTGTACAGGATAAAAGGCCTTCCTAGTATGTTTATTTTAGGAGGGATTTCAAGACAACCCCCTTCCTAATTCAGAAAGGGGTCTGCATTAAACTGTGGCTAAAACAAAGTCATCGTCCGTCCCCCAACCCCCTGTTTCAGCTGGCAATTGGGGATTAAATCCTGCTGTATGGGCCAGTGCACAAATAAACCCTACCTCCTGTCCATTAATGGATGTCACCAACTGATGTCAGCTGATTTGACAAGTGGGTGTGGTTTTGGGAAAATCATCTTGTGAACCACATTGGAACCTCTGGTGGGTCTACACTGGCTTGTGGGGTGGAGGTAGCCTACCCCTGCACTAGTCTATGCCCCTTGCAGATGCTTGAATGCTCTTCTTTCTCAAACTGAGTTTACAAGAAACCCGATGCTTTGCACAGCAGCCAGAGGATCAGAGCAGAACACAACACTCACTGGCTGACCCTTATGTCAATCATGCAGTCACACACACCTCCTTCTCTAAGTAGATTTTCAAGTGCCAAAAAATGTCTGGGTTTTAAAATGCTTAACAATTCACTTTAAATCCAGGTAAGTATGTAAGGGGCTTTGTAAAAGACCCAAAGTGGACAGTTTTCCTGAAGCTCAGGGGAAGGTGCAAAGAGGAAGAGGTAATCATTATTTGATTTCTAGTCTGTATGTGCAGTTTGAAAAGGCAGGAAGAAGCACAGTTCACTCCTGTATACAGCTCTTGCATGCAGGTCAGGAACACCACCATTGCCCAGAAAATAAGGTTTAATCCCTGAGCCCTTAATGGTGGTGAAAAGCAAATGTCAAAACATTCTTATTAGTAACAGGCTATCCCACAGTTACATGGATATCTTCCCACTGCTCTATGAACTGTTGACTAAGCATCTATCTTTTTGAGTTAAGGGTACTTCCTGTTTGAATACAGGAAGAGGCCTTTGCTGAAGAGGTATCAAGATTTGAGTAATACTGCCATAGGGGACCAAGTTCAGTGGGGAATATGGGGAACCCAGAAATAATAAACTGGTATGGTGTTTATCTTTGTTGTGATATGTTATCTACAATTATTAATGCTGTTCCTTTATTCAATCCCTACAAAATAAAATGTGAGCAGTCATAGTCTAACTGAATTTTGTTGAGTTGGACAATCATTGCCTACTTGCCTTTATGCTATTCAGTAGCAGGGCAGGAGCATTTTAATTGAAATCAATAGGGCTTAAATTAAACACCTTCACAGACCTTTGAAGGGCTTGGGTAAGGAGGTGCATACTGATGCTTCAATCTTAGATTAAGGAAATACAATATACATGTGTAAAATCTTGAATAATGGTGCACTCATCCAGTTCTGCCTCTGAAGTAAGCCCAAGGTGTAAAATGGCAGATTTCCCAAAAGTGCAATCTTTGACGTGGTAGTAGCATTTTGTCTTCTGGTGTTCATCATATGATTTGCAAAATAAGTAACTATATTTATCAATAAATCTTGACAATTCTTTATAATTGCTTTGCATCATATTCAGCAAATTGCAGAACTGCATTGCATTACTTTTCATATAAATATCAACACTTTTTTCAATTATTAAAAAACAAACAGACCTTGCACTATTTAAATATCTTACTGATTCAAATAAGATTATAACTCTGCACCCACTTACCTTAGGAATACAGGAAGGTGTCTTAAGCTGAGTCAGTCCATTGGTTCATCTAGCTGATTGGCTGAGGCTCTCCAGGATTTCAGTCAAGAGTTTCCCCCAGCTCTACCTGGATATGCTGGAACTGAACATGGGATCTCTTGCATGCAAGGCTCATGCTCTACCACTGAGTTACTGCCCTTCCCTAAAGGGAACTTACTTCGAGTAGACATGCAAAGGATTGTGCTGTAAGTCATTTGCAAGCCCATGGACACTAACTAACCTTGATCTTCAGCACGTTTATATTCATAGTAAACACCCCTTTCCTAATCATGCTGTATTGAATTTTAAATGACACTGCAATAGCAAGATACTCCAGGAGAAGTGTATTATTCAGAAGGAAGATGACAACCTCATACATCAGAAAAGCTAATGTACCATAATAGAATAAATAATGCAAAAGCAAGCTGTAGTGTGCTGTACCACATCAGCTTATGGATCTGCAACTAGTATTATCATTTAAAGTCCCCTTTTGATGTATGTTCCATACATACGGTTTTGCTCCTACACACAAATTCTGAAGCAAAACATTTCATTTAGAAGATTTTGTTCATGCTTCAACTCCACTTGAAGAGAAGGAAAGGGGCTTGGCAGATCTCCTTTGCTTTACCCCTTTAAAATTCTTCATTCCCTATGGAAAAGGTGCCAGGTTTAGAGAATGACTGAGCCTCCTTTTGCTCTCCATGATGCTTCCTCCCATACAGTCACTTACATAAACACACATGCCATATCAACCAGATTCATGTTGTTATTTTGCTTCATTATGAACGCATGTTAGCTAAAACAAAATTCATCTCAGATCTATGCATTTTGGCAGGATATACCTTTACCTTGCACATTCTGGATCGGTCTGCGGTTTTTCAGAAATTTTATTTTTTTCTGTTTCTAAACACTTTGTGGTGTTTTTAGCTTCTCTTATTTCTTCTTCAAGATCTGAAAAAGAAACAATACCTTTCTATTATGATTTTATAATACAGTACTTTATTATATAATGGAAACTGTAAGGAAGGGCTGTAGGTGAGTGTGTATGTAGCTGAGCACATACTGAAGGTCCTGCTTTCAGTCCTTGGTATCTCCAGCTAAGGATGGGAGAGAACCTTGTCCGAAACCCTGAGGAGGAACTGCCAGTCAACTCAGTCAGTACTGGATCAGATGGACCAATGGTCTGCCTTAGTCTAAGGCAACTTTCTATGTTTCTCAGTTGTTTTGCTGCACATTAAAAGAACCTATTATTAGAATGAAAAATTTGGATAATAGTTTTATGACATAAAAAACGTTCAGCTGTATTTAAGTCATTCCCACTCTTACAAGAATATGTGATCATATATCAAAAGCACGTGAATACTAAAGGCTGGAATACAAAACATGATATGCAGGTGCATGGGAGAAATGCATGAAAGCCAAAGCTTCAATAGTGGGACTTGGTGTAGCAGGTCCCATTGCACAAGATACAGTATAGGATGTGGAATGATTCCTGCATTACAGGCAGTTGGACTAGATGACCCTTGGGGGTCCTTCCAATGCTACAATTCTATGACTGTATTATTTTTAAACAAAGCCTTGGATCCAATGCAGTCTGAATTGCTAAAGCTGCAAAGAAGGGCAGAAAATGTTTTAAATCCATATTCTTTAAATTATTTGTTCATTAATGCCTTGATTAATATTAACTTAAAAACTATTAAGTCCATGATATAGATATAAACATTCATCTGTTGTTGAATGTTTTTTGATCAGAATCATTTATCAAATGTACTCACACTATGTCTGAACATCAAATCAGGTGGTGATTAAGTGAACAATATACCTTTGAGTTTTCTCTGAAAAGTACACAAATCCTTCTTCAGTTCATTCTTCTGCAGCTGAAACATTTTTAACTGAGCATTTTCATGTTTCATTGACTCTATTTCTAAGAAAGTGATAATTTTAAAATTAGGTTAAAGATTTAAGTTTCACCACATAACCAAAAAACTCTGTTGCAACTCTTCTCAAGATGTTTTGAAAAAATAATTACATATGTAACCATATATATAGGCTATGCGCATTTAATAATCCCTTATGTAATAATACCTCTTATGTAGTGACTGACATATGTAAGTTTTACCTATTGCACTTTTGGTAATTCTGGATGACATCCAATGTCATGCAAGTGGAATTCTCCTCCTCCCTACTGTAGCCCTCTGCCCAGCAACAAAAAATTCTTCTCTAGAGAGCCCCCTAACTCTCTGGAGATTTTGGAAATATACTGGGCGGGGGCATGGTAGCTTCAGGGGGGAAAAGGGAAAATCATTCTGCCAATGGTGTTCATTCCAGTGGTGGACAGATACCATTAGACTTCTGTTGGTGTTGGTGTTGGTGTTGCCAGCTGGCTTGGGCTCTATTTGTGTGGAAAGGCAGAATATAATGTATAAATTTAATTTGGTCCTAAGTGTGAACATGTCTTTTTTAGTTTATTAGAAACTTGGGTACTTATTATCAACAACAACAAAATTACTCAACATACTGTTTGTCAAAAGTAAGAGCTGCAAATGCAAGCAAAGCTAACAAAATTTATTTGTATGATGGCAACAGCTGTGCAGTATACAATCACTGTAGTTTATGTGTTTTGTTGGAGAGCTAACAGCTTTCTATTTGTTCAGGAGCTAATAGCACAGTTTGAACTCTGTTCAATGTTGTATTAACTACTGCTGGTTCTCATTCTTTCCTTCTAAAGCTTCTTGAATTCTTGAGTACCTTGTACTAAGAAGGCAAGATAAAATCATCAGGTGAACTGTGTTACCATAATCCAATAAACTGTCCATGAGAGCCTGGCAAATTGTGATACATTGTTCTACATTGGCACAATCCAACAGGGGGGAAATGTTTTACTGTTGGAGAAGAATGGCGAGTGAGTCAACATTTTTTTTGTATAATAGCACAATGATCCTGTGAGTGTCTAAGCATCTTAAATAAAGATTATGACTCTGAATGGGTGAGAATTACAGTGTTTGTATTGTACCTAGTACTGTTGGGAAAGGGTAGTTCTTTAGGAGCATCTATGCAATGCATTAATGGGCTGAACCAAAGTTCTTCAAAAATGCTACTTGCATTTTTTGTTAAATCTTTACATTAAAAATACATTTTTTAAAAAGGCAGAGTTGGTAGCAGTGTCAAAACAGAAGCATAACAATTATTGTTATGTAGATTCTTTCCAATAATACGTATGGTTGAATATTTTCTTGAGTTCTGTTACACCAATACATAACAACGCTGCTCCAATTCTCAGTAAATAATTTATCAAGTTGTCTGCCTGCCCTCACTCTTACAACATTAGCTAATTTTATCAGATGAGTCAGTTCCCAAACTCTTACTAGCCAGTCTTCTAACACAGAGATAAGGGTCCTCCCACCCATTATAACATATCTATATGAGCAACTGTTAACAAATGTGTTACCAATTCTGTATCCACGGGAAAAATTCATAGCCTTAACATATCCAGACAATACAACCAATGGGTCTACCATCAAACCATACCCTGCTATGAGTTTAATTTCATCTATTATAGTCTTCCTAAATATCACATTTCAGTTCTCGAATATCACTATGAAGCATAACAGTGTTTGATGCTCCACACCTTCAACATATATTAACTGCCCCACTGCATATACTGCTAAGTGCTGCAGGTGTTAAAAACAGGGAAATGCTAATTTATATTTTTTTAACCCATATCTTATAAATTTGTTCACATTTTTGTGAAATGTGTTGCCAAATCCTTTCCCATACTTCTGGAGTGTTTTGTCTTTGCTCTTGGCCTCAGTCAATTTTATATGTGTTTCTAATTACATCCAGTTATGTGTGACGTTGCAGCTTGTTAGTGTAGGGGGAAAACCTGTTGTGTTTGTCAGCTGAAATACAACTTTACTTGGTTTACAGCAAGTAAGTGGGACTGGCATAGCAGTAGAATGTGGCGTTTTTTCCATCAGTCTTTGTTGTTGGAATGGTGGTTGCCATCAGTCAGTTGTGAAGCAACTAATACGTGTTGGCCATCATTAGACCTTGATGTGGTGCAAGCCAGGTATCTGGGGGCCCCTGGGCAAATGAGGGACAGGACTGATGCAAGGCATGGCCCCTGCAAGCTAGGGATCTAATTGGGCCATAATGCAGTGTGTGCATGTTCCATATTTCATTGCCTTGAGAAATGTGACATGTAATATAATTTCCAAAGTAGTATCTTACTGGCTGCATACTGTCACATACTATTGCTTAAGGAAGCAATGGTCAGCTACAGGGGGCTAAGCAGTTACAGTGGCTTTTGAATTGCAGGAATAGATTTGGCAGCAGCTCCCAAAGCAACAACAGTGGCAGATTCTACTACTGTATTTTTGTAATTGTTTGCTGCCTTGGACTTGTATGTGAGGACAGGCAGAGTATTATAATGTAGAAGGAGAAGACGTATTCTTGGGGGGGGGGGGGAGTATTTTGTGCATTTGTTAGAAAAGACAAACTATAGAAGTTAGGCTTTTGATTTGCTAGCAACACATGTAATTACAGTTCATGGATGAAAAATGCAAAGGCATTTTTAATTCAGTGTTATCTATGCTAGCTAAAGCTCAAACTGGCTTGCAATAAATATTTGCAATGTCTGATGTTTAGTAGTGAAAAACAGAAAACTTTATACAACAACTATTCTCTTCAATCTTTAGCAGTGACTCATGGATGGGATTGCGACTGGGGCAAGGACAGGTAAGAATCTTATCTCTGACCACCTGTCGTGTTCAGCAATCTTAATATGTTAGAGTACCATGCAGTTAATGTTCCCTGCAACAAGGAACATGCTTGGTGCTCCAGTATAGCATGCTGTTCTTCACTCTAGGAAAATCATTACCTTGAAATTTAATAGGACTTTTCAGCTTGGAAGAAAATTGTGAAATTGTAGTGTCATGGAACTGCAACATAGTCATTTATATTCTTAGATAGTCCAAGATAAAATAATTAAATTCAAGACATACCATTTCTCAAAACATTTTCTTTTTCCTCTAATTCACATATTTCAGCCTTGACTCTTTTTTTAATTAAAAGCTCCCTTTTGGATGTTAACCCATATTCACTGTTGAACTCTGTAATTTCCTTCAAAAATCTCTCATCTTCTATGGCAATTTTTTTTTTGGTACCCATCTAATGGTGACATAAAATAAAGCAACAGAAAGGAAGAAAGAAAGAAAGAAAGAAAGAAAGAAGACTTAGTTAAAATAATAATAATAATAATAATAATAATAATAATAATAATTTATTATTTGTACCCCGCCCATCTGGCTGGGTTTCCCCAGCCACTCTGGGCGGCTTCCATAGAAACAAAAAATACAGTAAAATATCACAGATTAAAAGCTTCCCTGAACAGGGCTGCCTTAAGATGCCTTCTAAATGTCAGGTAGTTATTTATCGCTTTGACATCTGATGGGAGGGCATTCCACAGGGCGGGCGCCACTACCGAGAAGGCCCTCTGCCTGGTTCCCTGTAGCTTTGCTTCTTGCAATGAGGGAACCGCCAGAAGGCCCTCGGCGCTGGACCTCAGCGTCCGGGCAGAATGATGGGGGTGGAGATGCTCCTTCAGGTATACTGGGCCGAGGCCGTTTAGGGCTTTAAAGGTCAACACCAACACTTTGAATTGTGCTCGGAAACGTAGTGGGAGCCAATGTAGGTCTTTCAAGACCGGTGTTATGTGGTCCCAGCGGCCACTCCCAGTCACCAGTCTAGTTGCCGCATTCTGGATTAATTGTAGCTTCCGGGTCACCTTCAAAGGTAGCCCCACGTAGAGCGCGTTGCAGTAGTCCAAGCGGGAGATAACTAGAGCATGCACCACTCTGGCGAGACAGTCCGCAGGCAGGTAGGGTCTCAGCCTGCGTACCAGGTGGAGTTGGTAGACAGCTGCCCTGGATACAGAATTGATGTGCGCCTCCATGGACAGCTGTGAGTCCAAAATGACTCCCAGGCTGCGCACCTGGTCCTTCAGGGGCACAGTTACCCTATTCAGGACCAGGGAGTCCTCCACACCAGCCCGCCCCCTGTCCCCCAAAAACAATACTTCTGTCTTGTCAGGATTCAACTTCAATCCATTAGCCGCCATCCATCCTCCAACCGCCTCCAGGCACTCACACAGGACCTTCACCGCCTTCACTGGTTCTGATTTGAAAGAGAGGTAGAGCTGGGTATCATCTGCATATTGATGGACACCCAGTCCAAATCCCCTGATGATCTTTCCCAGCGGCTTCATATAGATGTTAAAAAGCATGGGGGAGAGGACGGAACCCTGAGGCACCCCACAAGTGAGGGCCCAGGGGTCTGAACACTCATCCCCCACCACCACTTTCTGAACACGGCCCAGGAGGAAGGAGCGAAACCACTGTATAACAGTGCCCCCAGCTCCCAGCCCCTCTAGACGGTCCAGAAGGATGTTATGGTCGATTGTATCAAAGGCCGCTGAGAGATCCAGCAGAACCAGGAAACAACTCTCACCTTTGTCCCTAGCTCGCCGGAGATCATCAACCAGCGCGACCAAGGCAGTTTCAGTCCCATGGTGAGGCCTGAATCCCGATTGGAAGGGATCCAAAATACAATAGAAAACTATATATGAATACTATATATGAAAATTATATATGAATGTATGTTTAGAGACATGTAAAAGACTACCTGTTATTTATTCTAAGTATTTAGAATCAACCCAGGGTGCAAATATGCAAAATGTAAACCACATTAAACAATAAAATCAAAACAATATAAAATAAAGAACAGATTTCAATTACAAACAAAACCACCAACAGCAACAAAAATTCTAATGCCCAATGTATGTTTGATTAAAGACATATGTTTGATGTTTGATTTGACTACAGGAAATACAGGAACTTCTTCATTCACAAAGATTTTTTTGTGAACATAGACGTTGTAAATATTCACTCTGAATGTGCTATGGAAATGAATGAAACATGCATTTTCCTATCATCTACTATAACATGTTCGCTTATGCAGGGCTCGAAGACTCTGAATAATATTTCAGTGTCATGTTCCTGTCTGTGAACTTTTTCTATAATTAAGCATACTTAATGTAAGGTTTTTGTCTTGCCTTTCACCAACATGATCTGAAAAGCTCATTCTGTTATTATCTCAGTTCTCCTGCCAATCAGGTGGTGTTATGAGGTGGTCATACCATGTAAGATAACACACGGTGTTCTGTAGACTCTTGCAAGAAGCACATGACTAAACAAAACATGAATTTGTAGATTCCCTTCTTCTTTTTTTGTAACATATATGGCATGAAGACAGAACATTGATTTCTGTGCATTGCTTGGGTGTTTTTTTTGACACAGCCATACTGGCCCTCAAAGTTGCCAGAGAGCAAAGAGCTGGTAGAAGCTTCATTGCAAATGGAGGTTTGGGCCTCTTATGATGAAGAAGGGCCGAAAAGGTGTAAAGCAAGGTGCTTTCTGATTGAAAAGAAATAGATGCTTAATGTTAAGAAGATATTTGAAATTTAACAGTGGAAACTTATACACTACTCACTGAGTAAGTCTCATTGGGCTGCATTGGGCTTAGTCCTGCTTGGACCAAAACCTTAGTTAGTAAATATTAATAACTCTTGACAAATCTCAAGAAATTGAAAAAGGTGAGTTCTTTGGGGTCATCTGCATTCCTAGTATCACTTTGTGTGCATGGATCTCCTCATTCTGCCCACTGAAAAGGCTGTCAGGCAGGACTCCTACTAACAGTAGCCCTTTGGAAAGCCCCCATTCCAGAGGTATGGTGGAGCTGAGCCAGCCTGGGGTCTGCTAGATCTTGATCCAGCACCAGTGCTGTCAGTTGGCAGCACCAATGTGGGCCCAATCAGTATGCCAGCTGCAGGCTGACTCAGCTCAGAGAGCATTTTTGCCTGCTGTTTGCCTTTTGCCCCAGAGGGCCTAAGGAATGAGGCTGTGAATGTATATGGTTGGGCCACGACAGAGGTTTGTATTGTTCAGCTAGTTATCGCCAAAACCCACTGAAAGCTATGGGAGAACTTTGTTACAATGAACTTGTTCCGCTGCTTTCAACAGGACATATTCAAAACAAACAAACCCTGAGCTGGACTGGGGACAAAGATCCTGGGCCTTTTGTGTTCAGATATTAGCTCATGTACAATTTAGCTAATGCTGGGTGTCAAAAGGTTGAGGATTTCTGGTCTAGAACAGTCTCACTGAGAACATACAAATGTTTCAAGCAGAATACTCTTCTGATTAAGAAGTTCAGCTTTCTGGCTTTCTAAGCCCTCTTCTCTTTTCTTCAAAAGCTCCAAGTCTAATAGCTTTCCAGATAGCAATTGAGCCTGTAAAAAAAAAAACAAATTTTAAAAAGAGTCATTAAAAACACCCTGAGTGCAGTTGTAGTTATACAAAGTTATTTTACATATGCAGGGCCTTTTGCATCAGAACTCTAGCAATGTGAGGTCTTCAGAAACTGTATTCTTTATACTGTTCTGTGATTTAATTAACCATACATAAGCAGTAGTGGCTGGTTTCAAGGAGCAGCACCATGGAGTCACTCTCACCAAAGACAACATTGGGATAGGGCAGGGTAGCAAAGAGGTTAGGGTTGTGCAGACACACTTGTAGGCTCACCAGGTTCTGTCTGGACAGCTATGACCTAACCACTACATAGGTTTTGTTTCTAAAATTGTTTCTAAATTCAGAATTTGTTTCTAAATCAGGTTGTGGGTGCTCAGTTTTACCTGACCAAAGGGTTCCCTCACTACTGATACAAACTTGGCATTATTGCTGCCACCATCAGAAGCCAAAGCAATGGGGAACAACAGGGAATCTAAATTAAAAGTTTCCAATATTTTAACCTCTAGAAGAATACAGTGCCCCCAAATGTCCCTTAGGATATCCTCCTCATGTGACTGCAACCAAGGACTAAACTCTCAGAAGCACCTCCATCCTAAAATAATTGCAGCACAGGAGAGTTTTCTTCTCCCTTTCCTTCATTTATTCTTTACAGCAGCATAGTAATTAGGCATGTTCAAATAGTAGAAAACAAAAAAAACCAAGCTGGGTCTTTTAAAAAAGGATTAAAGTTTACTGAGTACATGTTTATATAACTACAAATTAACAAATGGAAAGTTCACAAGTTAATGGCAAGTTCTCCTCTTTCCTGCATTTGACATTCCCCCTCCCCTTCCCACCAACCCCTCCATTCTTACAAAGAGTCTGCTTATTTACCTTGGTAACTGAGAATTTACTTCCTCAGGCCACACTGAAGGGTTTGGGGGTTGGGCACCTTAGTTATTCCCAAGGAATATTCCCAAGGACTATCCTCAGGAGGGTAACCCAGATCAGCGATGTCGTGAGTATGACTAGGCAAACACTCCTGTTTGCATCTTATAGTTGCAAGTACAACCAATGCAGGCATGCACACATGAGCCTTGAATAGGCTTGTCCTTACTTGCACCTCTCTCTTCTTCTACTAAGCACAGAATGTCACTCCTCCATATTGTGCAAAAGATAAAATTAACGCCACTGCCTGGGGAGAATGCTAGTAGTAACCTGGATAATGTAGCTGCTCTTTTGCTGCTTTGCATGGGCATCCTCCACTCTCTGCTGAGCAGCAGAAGTGAGTCCTCTTAAAACAATACAGGAGACCCTCTGCACCCAAGAAGAGTCATTGAAGGCACATATCTACACAGCGATCTGTGCCTTCTAAGGCTCCTGCAATCAACTGTTCATTAAGTGGCTGCCCCTTTCTGCAGGAATATTGGAAATAAAAGAGTAAGCTGGTAGAGAAGAGATAGTGATCTCTCCTTCAGCCATCACATCCCACTGCAATACTGGCTGCTGAGAAAGGGGTTTTCTGGCTGGCCAGCCAGACCATTCAGTGGATCTTCAGTATGGAACTGCTCCCTCAACTACCTATTCAATATAGTCTTTAGAACAGCATTTTTGAAAAGGAAGCATTGAACCTTGAAAGGCAAAATGCTATAATTCAAGTTCTAATTACATGCTACCTAGTTTTTCAGAACACACCAAAAATTTATATTTCCTGGGAGCATTTCCTTGACCACAAGCAGTCTCTGTGAAATAGATGTCAAAACATCTTTGAACTCTGAGGTTCAGCTACATGAGCTTTTTTTTCCCTGTGCCCCTATATTTACAGATAGGAGACTGTGCAAATTCCTAGACATATAAAAATGTGGAGTAAAACTTATAGGAATTTGGAAAAGGAACTTATGTGAGTAGCATTGCTCAGTGCTTAATATATATTACACTAGAGATCTCCAGAGAGACTGGCATAAGGTTATGTTTCTGTACTCGGGGGGGGGGGAGATAAGTCATGCCAATCTTAATAGCATTCAGTATTTATTTCATCCAGTGAAGGCAACGCATATTGGCTTTTCCTACACTTATAAGGTGTAGTCTTAAAAAGAAACCTGATACTAACTAAACATGCAAGTTAATAGGCATTGACCTTCATGTAATTAATTCTATGGGTTTAAAGCTTTAATTGCTTTAGGAACGCTTTTCCAGTTTTCCTCATTAGTAATTCACAGTAATTGTTCCCTCACTTTCACAACCCTCTGTATCTACCATGGAAACCATAACTGTAAATTAGAATGAGTCAATAGCAAATTAGTGACATGAAAATAGAATTATGATTGTCATAAATTAGTTTTACAAGCAGCAACACAATGACTGTCATTGTGTAATCTGGCAGAAAGGACAATGGGGCTCCTGTTTTGTGACCTGGGTTTACTGCTAAGGCAGAGGTCATGTAAAATACTCTATGTGATGTCAACCTAATACATACTTCTGCACAGCTCTGTAAATTCTGTCTTTCCACATTAGATCTATTTGGCTTTTCCTACAGATTTGTGGTGTTCAGCAAAAAAGGCCTACTGAACAGGGTAGAAACATTGTGGGCTTTTTTCAAGTAGGAACTCCAGACAGTCCTAGAAACCAGGCAGCTGCTAGATTTGGTTTGAATTGCCCTCAAAATGTTCTTCACTAAAATGACATAGTATTATTAAATAAATAAATAAATAAATAAATTTCAATACCACCTTTCATTCGGGGATCATAGGATTGTTTACAATATAAACAAACAAACAAAAACAGTACCCTCCAAAGTTTAAAAAACATAGATGACCCATTTTCTTTAATCTATCATTCTAATTGCTATCATCTGTACCTCTGATTCCAACTTTCTTTTTTCTCCATCCAGTTGTTCTGTTAGTTGTTTAGCTCTTTCATTAGTTAGGGTTATTTCCTGTTTAACTGCAACACAAAATGAACTTTTAGACACAAAGAAGATATTTGTGCAAGCAGTATTATAAAATTTGCTGCAAAAGTAAAAAAATAGGGCTGCAAAAGTTTCATTAGTGAGGGACATTTTACAGTGGGAAATTCACTATGAAGTTGAAGGTTGCATGTTTCTTTTATGTATTATGTATACCGCCTGAGAGTTAATTTTATTGTGTACTATTGTATATTCTAATTGATTACTAAATATTTGATTATTTGATTCAAGTTGTTTATTTTAAAGTCATATTTTATTATGACTTATTTGTATGGGATCAGACTGTTATAAGGTGAGTGATGTTTGCTGTATATTTTGTTGTTTTTTCAGCTTTTAATTGCCTTGTGCATATACAGAAAGGTGGTATACAAAGTAAAAGTGGAATGAAATAAGTCTGAAGTCAATGCCAAGAAGAATCACACAGCCTCATCTGAACTCAGTAAGCTGTTCTAGTTAGAAGTTATTTGTGGCTAGCCATAAAAAAGCTCATTTCCCAGAGTTTTGCTTCACTCAACTTCACTCAGTAAGAGTCTCACACAACTTCTCTAAAATCAAAAGAAGATAATCAGAGAAGGGGACACAATCCAAAGTTGTTTATACTTACTCAGAAGTGAGCCCCATAGTGTTTTGCATACCATTTAAATTGCCTATTTTGCATTTTTACTGTAACTCAGGAATGCCCCAGGATGGGGTGAGAGGACAGCCCTTCCCCCCAAAAAAACCCATAATTCACTGGTTCTCAGTTTTCATTTAAAATGCTCAAGTCTAGGATTCATAGAACTGGAGCTGTGAGAGAAAATGTCCAGGCGCTATTCCCGTTTTCTGGTGCTGTGAACACTTACTACGCAGAGTAACCCAGGATTGAGGTAGGCATTTAAAACAAAACAAAAAAACACAAACACATTAGGTGGGTCGAGGGGATTAATTTGGTCCATTTAACGTGTGCCCAGATGGCAAGCGCTTGCTTCAAATTCCACAAGGATGGTGTGGCCACCAACCTTGGTGCATGAGACGTTGCATGCCCTCTACTTTTTGCTCCGTCAGGAAGATATACTGGAACAAGGAGCCTAGGCTCATTTTAGCTGTGTCTGCTGGAAAGGGAAAACGAGAGATGCCCTTTTCAGCCAGAACGCTGAGCTCAAATATGAGGGAGCTTGCTTGAAAGTGGCGCCTTGGCAACTACTATTTTGTTCCTTTGCTCCTCGCCCACACACAACCACGCAGCTGCCTCCTCTTTCTTCCTGTGAGGCGGCTCTTTCCATAACAAGGGCTAAGCTGGTAGAAGTCTGGACAGATCCACTTCACACTTCTGGCGGGGGTTACCTTTTATATTCCCTTCACCAACCCACCCACCCCAAACAAATGCCCTGCATGAACTGAACTAGCACACGATGGAGAAAGTTTTATCATAGTTCCTCACCTTGGTGTGTTAATTTATTTACATCCAGGAATTATTTTTTATGACGGGGGAGTATTCAGAAACATGGCCTTACATCTGCTGCTTTGAAGTGGTACAGTCAGCAATTCTCCCTGCTCTATTTACATTCTTATTTGCGAGGTTAGGTGTGTAGTGTATTTACAAAGTGTCTTAACCTTTTTTCTTTCTGAGGCTTCCGCTCATCTCAAGGTGGCTTACTTAAATTTAAATCACAATAAAGCCTATCGGTAAGATACAACAAAATACCAGGTTGTAGTTAAAAAAAAGAAGTACTTTTTAAATAATTACTGATAGAAACGGTAGATGGCAAGCACTATCGTGGAATAGGCGTCCTATCTTATGTACAGCATATATTATCTCAAAAAGTACGGTTTTAATTTATTCTTTGCTTCCAATTGTCTGTTTTGCTCATATACAAATTAAACTGAGTAGTCAGCTGATAAGACTGCAGCCCTACATCCACTTACCTGGAAACAGGCGTACTGTATATGGGATTGTAACTAAGGATGGGAGTGGCCCTACGCCCACTTGCTCAGAAGTTAGCGCCATTGAGATCAATGGGATTTGCTTTTCAGTGCACTTGTATAGAGTTGCCCTGTAAGGCAGCAATTCTTTACACATTTAATTCAGAGTGAATGGCATAGAACAAAATGGAACTTATTTGTGAATAGACATAGGTTTGTGCTGCATAAATTATATGATCAATTTTAATTGAGTGAAAACACTAGTTAGAATAGTGCTTCAATTTAAAGAAAAGTGTGAGAAAAGGAATATGAACATGGGATTAATTCATGGTGGAGAGCACTTTTGTCTTTTTTTTTCACCTGCTACCTACCTGCCTATCTTACTTGGAAGCAAAACTTTCTCTTCTTTTTCTTTTTAAAATGTAGTAGAACAAGCAAGGTAAGGGAAGGGAAGGGTTTTGAAGGTGAACTTGTAGGACTTGTAGGAAACTATATTTTTTTTAAAAAAAAAAACAGCAGTGAAGCTTTTCACCCTTAAAGGTCAAATGAAGAATATAGGCAAAAATGGAGCTTTAGGATGCCTTGATATACTTGAAAAAGATTGGCGTAAAATTAGGAGAGAGCATAATGGTACGCCTGGCTCAAGATGGAGGAGACATTTTCCAACATTTTCAAGATGATATTGCTAAGGGATCAACTGGTGCCTTGATCAAGCTGTGAAAAAGTTGCTCCTGCTGGGCTTGGTAGACACAGGAACAGCTTGTCAGTAAAAGAAGTAAGTTAAATATCTTTGGACTGCTTTAGGCATTATTTTCACAGCACGATTGCTGTCAGAATGAAGCACCACATGGATCCCTTGTGTGTTGGAAGCAATGGTTTGTATTCAATGTACATCCTACTCAGAGTAGACGCATTCAAGTTAATAGACATAACTAAATGACATTCTTTTCAGTGGGAATAATAATAATAATATGCCGCCCATCTGACTGGGCCACTCTGGGCGACTTCCAACAAATTAAAACATCAAACACAGTAAAACATCAAACATCAGAAACTTCCCTGTACTGTACAGGGCTGCCTTCAGATGTCTAATGAACCAGTCAGCAGAAGTCCTGTACAAGGATTACCTCTTGTACTTTCCCTCTGCTCACCCCAAAAATGGCTCTGGAGAGGGGGTGGTCCAGAGAACCCCTAGAATAGCATGCAGCGGGAGGAAAGGGAGGATTGTTCCATCTGACAAACTGAAATGCTTGTGCTTTGCGTAGTGCATCATTGAATTCCTCCCTCTACTTACACCTTAGCTGAATAGAACCCCATATGTCCCCAGTACTGTGGTTCACACAGTTTCAACTACAGCAGCTAGTCACTCTATTTTCAGAGGAGGTAACTTTCTGGCATGCAAGAAACTGATTAAGCCATGTGGGGAGTCACTTCACACAAATAACTGCCTGTGTTGAGCAGCATCTGTCTCATGGATGGGGACCTATGCGCCTCCAAATATTGTTTGACTCCAATCCTCATCAACCCCAGACAGCATAGTCCAGTGTGATGGGACCTATAGTATAACAACATTTAAAAGACCTATGTACTTCACTTCTTCAGTGGCTACCAAAACCACAAAATGAACTTTTAGACACAAAGAGGAAATATGTGCAAGCAGTGTTATAAAATGTGCTGCTTGTAGAAAGGTAGACTACATTTGAACCAGGGATCTCCTGATTCATGACTCCATATATATCTACAGTTTTATGTTATGTATATCTTTGTTTTTTGTTCAGCAGGAATATTTCTCTCTCTCTCTCTCTATATATATAATGAAAAATATACGTAAAGGGTTGCAAATTAGTGGCCAAATAGTTTGGAAAACATCATAGCTCAGGCTGTTAATGACAATTTTATTGTACATCTCAAAAATAAACAGTAAGATTTTTGTAAACATTTGCCTTGCCCAAAGAATGATTATCTTTTATCTTGTAGGTTGCAAAAGTACCTCCATGCTACCATCTACATCTGAATCTGAATCAAAGAGCTGTAATCAGGTCATGTTTTTTCCTAATGTACTTTAGAACTCATAATTTACTTTTGCAGTCAGCCAATGTAAGCTTATGTTGTGTAACATCCTGTTTTCAGATAAACAATTAAAGCAGGTGAATGTGTAGATTATTACTAGGATAGTAATGGATTATTTCAAGGACAATGTTTGATACTCATAGTGCCAAGTTCTAATGCAAACAAGCCCTTAAATGTTAATGTTTCAGAAGATAATGCATATCTCTCAGAAATGCTAAGTATAGTAATATTATTACAGTAACCTTTGCTTCCTTTCATATTCTTTCACATCACCTAGTCTTGCCTAGTCTTGCTATATAATTCTTGCAAATGTTATTACTTAAAACTTACGCATTGGGCCTTTTTACCAATGCAGTCTAATAAATAAATGCCATTTCCCCCTTTGTTCACTGGAGCAAATGCCTCTCTTCCCATATTTCTGTTTCGTGGAACTCCTACTCAGATCCAGTGTACCTGCCAAAACAGATTTCTAAACTGAAATGGATTCATAAATATTTGCAGAGTGTGTATATTGCTTTAGGACTAGGCTTATGTACTCAGCACTAGAATTGTATGAGTGATCCCTGTAGAGGATTGAGAATTATTACATGCCCAGTGTCTGATAGTTCCAGCATTTATTATATTTCATCTATGAGTTTGACCTCATCATCAGCCTAACAAAGACCAACATCCTGGGTCAGGATGTTGTTGGCACTCCACACACCAGCATTGGTGACCATGTGCTTGAGTTGGTAGACGATTTTGTCAACCTGGATTCCATCATAATCAGCAACCTCTCCATTGACATTGAGCTGGACAAACGTATTCGCAAGGCGGCTACGAAAATGGCTCACTTCACCAAAATGCTAACGTCTAATATAAAGATGAAGGTTTACCAAGCTTGTGTGTTGAGCATGCTGCTTTATGGAAGTGAGTCATGGGCAACTTACACATGACAGGAGCGATGCATCAATGCCTTCCATATGTGCTGTGTCAGGAAGATTTTGGGCATCACATGGCAGGACAGAGTCTCAAACAAAGATGCGCTCTCCCAAGCCCATATTCCCAGCATGTTCGCACTTCTATCTTAGAGATGTCCATGCTGGCTTGGAAGATGGCAGGATCCCCAAAGACATGCTTTATGGAGGCCTGGTCTCAGGCGCTAGGTCTGTTGGCAGACTAACTCTGTGTTACAAAGATGTCTGCAAACGTAACATGAAGGCTGGCAACATTAACCCTGCCATATGGGAATCCCTTGCAGACGATTGCAGTACCTGGATACAGACAGTCAGGTTGTGTATGCACAGCAGTGACCAGAGGAGGAATGACTGCTGAGAGGAGCACAGAGAGAAGAGATGCCATGGTGCACTTGTAGTAGTAGCAAAACTGGACGCTGTCATCTGCCCCACCTGCAATAAAGCCTATCTGTCCCATATCAGTCTCTACAGCCACAACAGGTGTTGTAACTTTCCAGTGGTTTGGCTTTACCCCCAAAGGGGCATTGTTCCATTGTCTCCCGAGACAGGCATGTGCCAAGAACAACAACAAGGGGGTCAGAGCTTCCATTCAGACATTATCAGCCATCCTTGAAAACTGCTCAGCCAACTATGGGTAACTGCTCTAGAAATCTGCAGCTTGCCAATACGTAAGAACAGTAGCATCTGAACAACTGCCCACTGCTGCATAGTGTTATCTTTAGAAGAAGGCCCATGTGTGTCAAAGATATCCTAAACAATTGGCACATTTGAAAAGTACACAGCCAAACACAGAAAGGACCAAAATATGGATAAATTTAAAAAAGGAAGGGAGTGGCTTTATCTACACATAATGCTAAATAAATCTATGGCTTTAGCCTTAGAGTGTATGAGAAAGTGAGAAATGAGTGGTGCACACAGAGAGAAATCAAAGGTGCTTTGTTCCTCTCCCATTTTTGTCCTGCTACCGCAGATATGCAGATGACACAACATTGATGGCAGAAAGTGAGGAGGAATTAAAGAATCTTTTAATGAGGGTGAAAGAGAAGAGTGCAAAATATGGTTTGAAGCTCAACATCAAAAAAAGAAAATCATGGCCACTGGCCCCATCGCCTCCTGGCAAATAGAAGGGGAAGAAATGGAGGCAGTGAGAGATTTTACTTTCTTGGGCTCCATGATCACTGCAGATGGTGACAGCAGCCACGAAATTAAAAGACGCCTGCTTCTTGGGAGAAAAGCAATGACAAACCTAGACAACATCTTAAAAAGTAGAGACATCACCTTGCCAACAAAGGTTCGTATAGTTAAAGCTATGGTTTTCCCAGTAGTGATGTATGGAAGTGAGAGCTGGACCATAAAGAAGGCTGATCACCGAAGAATTGATGCTTTTGAATTATGGTGCTGGAGGAGACGAAGAGTCGGACACAACTAAACAACAACAACTGGAACTTAACTGTGGTTAGGCTTCAAGTTACTTTTGAACCTTTGCTTGTGGTTTATCTTCCCCAAAGAACAAAACTTGAATGCCGGTCATGGTTTCTTTGGATTAAGGCAAACAATGAAGCCAGCTTCAGTGTTCATTGTTCAGTGTTCAGGTTAAACACTAAACCAAACCATGACTTAGCTCCTAGTAGCATGGCAGCAGGAATGGGGGAGAAGCAAAGTGGCTGTGCTTTGCTCACTGTGCACTAGCATGCATTCTCATCCACACTAAGCCATAGTTTAGCTTAGCGTTACATGTGAACCAGGTCCCTGTCATCAGTGATATCTGGATTAGATTGGACAGTTCTAAACGTGGTTTATTGGGAGTTTGTTATGGGCAATTTCAGAAACAGATTAATTCGATGTACTGCAATATCCTACTACTCCCAGAATCAATGGTGCATTGCCAATGAATTTGATTGGCTGAAACCACAACTTAGTCCTTTGTTAGTAAATTTGTTTGTACTACAACATGCCACTGAATCAACTTGTTCCTTTGGACTGGAAATGAATTACTTTAAATTGCATTTTTTAGCTTCCCAGAAACTGCTGAACTCAGACAATTACAGCTGAGCTATATCCACTTTACTATAAGCTAGTGGGTTCCAAGTCCTTTAAATCTAAGGGTGCTTCCCACAAGAAGTAAATCTTTTTTTAAAGTCACTAGTCTCTGTGTTAATAACATCCTCACTGATATTGCAAGTGTCCAAAAATTAAGTCTTTTTTCATTTCTTAGTACAGAAGAGTCTCATTTCTTTATGACATGAACAAGGTAGTGATTGGCAACCAATAATTTTCGTCTTTAATTTAAATTATTGCTTTCTATTACTCTTCATTTCTGGAAAACTATCATTTGGATTTTTAAAAAAGCTTCCTATATTTCATGCTGTATTAACCATTTTTCATAAGTTTTTTAAAAAGGTATTAGCAATAAAAAGGCATGCTTACATCCCTATTTTTACTTTATTTACTTAAAAGTAAAGCAGAATAATTTCAATAGAAGGAAGATCTAGGTCAGGGTTAGCTTACGTGGTGTCCTCCAGATGTTTTGACTACTATCAGGTCCAGCCAGAATGGCCAATGGTAAGAGATTATGGAAGTCCAAATTATTTGGAAGACACCATCTTTGCTCCCCCTGGTCTAGGTGAATGTGCTGAGTCTCACAACTTCATGACAGAGCAACATGCTCTGTCTCTACCTTATATCTTCTCTTTGCAAATGAGGCCAAGAAGGTGAATTTGTGAGGAAATCTGTGGGTGAGGGGAGAGCTTTTGGTCCTTCCTTTTGGCCATCACTTCCTCCTTCAACTCCCCTGGCAGAAAAGTCCTCCACCCACACATGGAAGGGTTTTAGATCCATGCTTCATTTACTTGTCACAGCACTCTCAGGTGTATTTAGGATCACTGCCTTTTTGGAATTAATCAGCATGGAAATTAATGGTACTTATTTCTAAGCAAATTGAAGGGCTCACAGGTAATATTAAACCGTGCTTAACATTATGAGGATGAGTCACAGTACTTGTGTACTTTCCCATTCCCTTACCTCCTCCGCTGTGGCCATGAAGAGAGATCAGAAACTTGCAATACCATTTTAGATTAACAACAGTTTAGCATTATGGCTGAGCTCTAAACTGTGGTAAAGCTTGTTTCAGCAAACCATAGTTATAAATAAGCACAGTTTGTCCAAATTCAGATGATATATGGAACTGTGTTTGATTTAAACAGAGACGAAAGCTTCTAAACTAGCATCCATGCTTGGACAGCAGGCAGTGGAGTGTGTGATCTTAGGGCCCCTTCGCTTCATTCTTGTAGAATTAAATTATGCTTTGTCTAAACTATGGCTTAGCATTACATCTGAACCAGCCTAGTGTATTTACTATCAGAGCACCAGATTGTTTAAAATAGCACAACCAAACAAGGTACAAAATAATGCAAAGTGAATATTTTATTCAGCTTGGCTAAAATGGAAAATTGTATTTATACTTCTAGAAGCTGTGATATGGCTTTGTAATAATTGTGTCAGATTATATGGAAATTTATGTCTGTTGCAATTCGAGTGATTGATGTGAAATGTCGTGGAGAACTTGTCTCATTGTGCTTTTCCATATTAAGAGGCTGTTCAGTGTTTCAAGATTAAGGGAAATGGAATGACTTTGTTAAGTAGTAAACTGATATTTTTTGACATTTAAAAAAATCTATATGGTTTCAAAACATTTAACACTTGAATAACTTGATGAATGTCTCTGAAAATCACTGGGAAGTGCACCTACCATTTTAGTTTTGTTTCAGAATGAATTAGACTCCTTAGCATTTCTCTAGGAGGTAAACAAATTTTCAGCAGATGTTTTTTGTTAAGGGAAGCAGCTCTTTGTATTTTGATATCTCAATTTCTGTCTTGCATCCAGGATTTTATATAATTCCATCTGTGGGAAAATACGTTGGCTCTCTTCCTCTGTAGGTTATTATAAAAGTGAGGATTTTTGAAAACCCTTGAGTTTTCTGTCTATTGTGTTTGTTCGTAATCACACCAACACCTGTTTTATTACTGTTTGGCAACTGTGCTAAAAATGAATAGACACCCACGAATATAACTACAGTATGTTCACAATAAGCCCCTTGATATTTGACTCATTTTGCCCTATTGATGCGTTGAATAGCTGGGCTGTGCCATAATTGGCCAGGTTAAAAGGTGGCAACCCTACTGTGTATGCGTGTGTGAGAAATGAGCACTGTGTGTGTCTGAAATATTTTGCAACTTCTTCTTTGTTTAAATTAACAATGTACCTTTCTAATACGTTGCCCTATTTTGTTTACCACCTACTACTTCGGGTATCGGCCCTTTTCACACAGCTTGAAGTGAGTGCATGGAAAGGAGGGTGTTGGGATTGCACCCGCCAGCCCCACCCTTAAGTACCATGTATTTTGTCTGTGCAAGGGCTTGTACACCTGAAATCAGTAAGTTTTGTATGTGAGAGATCTCTACTTGTCATTTTTGCAGGGTGCAGTTTTTACCCTGCAGTCTACACTCATTATGATGAATGTGCACAGTAGTGTTGGATCGGCAGGGAAGTGGTTGCAGGGGAGACAAAAGGGGGCACATGCCCTAGGTGGCAGGTTTGGGTGGAGCAGCAAAATCAGAGGCTATTATTTGGATCTGTCCAATAGCCTTCCCTTTTGGGTGTGCCTTTGCGCCAAATTAACAACACTGCTACGGAGTCCCATTAAATGGGGTTTTGACTATGTACAAGACCACTCCAAGGATGAGGAAAGAAAAGCAAGATGCCCAGTGGGTGACCTGTTCTGAAATATGTTCCCCACTTTAAAACAATAAGGCTGGCCCTTAAAGTACATTTGTTGTCCTGCTGTCTGTGAGGTGTGGTGGTTCCCCCAGACTGCCAGATCTGCTGGGGACTTGTGAATAAAGTCTCTGCAGTCCCAAGGAGAGATAAGAAACCATTGTAGTCACCAGTGCTGTCTAGATGTCTGATCTCACAGAACCCAACCAAGGGCTATTTGAATTAGCCTTGGCAATATTTAGAACCAGATCCACCAACTGCTCATTTGCTCCTGCCTCTGAAGGCCTGTGTGGGTCCTGGATGGAGACAGAGAGATGATTGCACAGTGTCTGGAATATCACAGTTCTTCCTCCCCTGTCTCTCCCACCCCCTTGTGTCCACCCAAATGAGCAGTGGTGCTGTCAAGGCAGGATTTTGGGGCAGATGTCCAGGGTTCCATTGAAGAGGATGAACAGGACGCCCCCCAACACAGCAGGACTGCCTTACCAATGTTTTAAAGTAAACAAAGGAATATACTGTAGTTAAGAGCAGTAGACTCGTAATCTGGTGAACCGGGTTCGCGTCTCCACTCCTCCACATGCAGCTGCTGGGTGACCTTGGGCTACTCACACTTCTCTGAAGTCTCTCAGCCCCACTCACCTCACAGAGTGTTTGTTGTGGGGTGGGGGGAGGAAAGGAGAATGTTAGCCACTTTGAGACTCCTTCAGGTAGTGATAAAGCGGGATATCAAATCCAAACTCTTCTTCTTCAAACTCTTCTAAAAGGTGTTAAGGGTGAAGGAGTAGGCAGATGTATAAGGTGGCGTGACTGGGGGTCTCCCGAGAGCAGGAGGCCTGCCTTGCCACATTCTGAAGTGAAATAATACACATTACTTTCCAAAGAACTCCCACACACCTCACAAAGCTATGAAGTCCAAGTCACCTAAATGCACATTTTTAGGAACGAGGGGCAAAATTCAAAATCCCCATCTAGCATTACATTTAAAATTGCACACTCCCAGCTGCTGCTAGTAAACCAAGGTACTGAGAATGACAACAATAAGCACAAATTCTGTTTGTGACCTATTTTTGGAAGGGCCCCCTTAGAAATTCCTTGGACAGCACACCACTTATCTTTTGGATTGAATGAGAAGGTCACCAGTGGTGAAATCATATAAATTCAAAACCCCACCTGGGTGAGGATGGCCCAGGAGTGTAAGACTGCCAACCAAAAATAGATCTCACACTCTCTTGCCCTTGTATTTTCTTCTTCCTTCATGTGAATCAACCTCATAGAAAGCAGGAACAAGGCCATAACTTTTAAGCAGCTTTAAAAAACCCCACATATAATCCTGCTCCGATTTCAGATGAAAATGAGGGCACCACTAGCAGGCAGAGGAATTTTCAGTGAGACCACAGTGCACAGGAGCAGAGGTTTAATTATTCCCTCCCCAGCTACAATTCCAACAAAAATCACAGCTCTTTTCTAGGGCTGATGACAGAGGAAGGGGGATCATCACTGGGAAATGGTTAAATTTCCCCAGCACACTGCAGACCAGATGAAATCAGCGCATTCTGTACCTGCAATCTAACAAAAGAAAAGAAAACACCTTGCTGTGCTTCCTGGTGATGCTTTTAGCATTTCATCTAGGTGGTTTCTGGACTAGCCATCAAACCGATTCAATTCATGTTTAGAATCTGGGATATAGTTATCATAAGGCTTTGGTATGTACATATGGCGTCAACATGGCTTCGGCATTCTGTTGGTGGGACCGTCCCGAACATAACTCAAGAACAACGTTTTAATGCCTTTTGGTTTCAATACTAATTTCTGTTTTATTTTGAACAAGAAACAAATATTCTGAGATAGCAATGAATGCAATGTGACACTTCTTTGGGGTTTTTTTTGCTGAATATCCTGAAATATGTGTCTGACTATTGTAATTTCCTTTTGCTGAATTGAACTATTGATACTGGAAGCATGACCTCTTTTGTGACAGTAGATCTTGACTGAAGAATGCTCCATTACCTCATTTGCACAGCATGGAAAGAAGAAAAATTGGACTATTCATTGGCAGTCATGGTGAATGAGAACAGGAACTAAATACATCTGGGCATTGAATGTAGCTGAAATGTATGGTTTATGGGTTCAGACCAGGTCAACTCCCAAAAAGAGCAATATTTTCTCTGGAGAAGACAGGCATTCCAATCCCAAATGGTGTAAGCTTTCAATGCAAGGGGACTGTAGGGCAGGGAGCCAAGAGGAAAGTGAAGCCATTGAAGAGGACTGGGTGAGGAGCCATGGATGACAAAATATGATTTAGTGCTACTGGATTCTGGCCTAACCAGTTTGTGAGTTGCAATCTAATAGAGAGGTTTCCCTGAGCCAGGCTACAAAAAATATATATTGGGGGTTCATTAAAACCTGACTCAAAGGAGAGCTGATCTTTATAAGTCCCAGCTGGATCAAAACTTGAGCCGGAGAAGAATGGTTGACTTTCTCAACCCATCAGTTTCCCCCTGTGGTACGTAATGGAGCAGTACTGCTTTCCAGCTTTTTAGCTACATGCAGGTAGAATGAGCCTCTTGCTACCTCTGAGAAGGTCATTTTTTCAAGCCCTCAGTTTGACAAGGAAAAATCACCAAAGCTCTTCCATATCTTTTTCAGAAGAATTTGTGTAAATTCTGAATCAATGTAAGGAGAGCTTTGGAAAGCACACCCATCTTTAAAGTCTTCTTCTTGTGCTTTAATTCAATTTGACATTTGAATCCCTCCTAGAAATGTGTCCAGAAGGCAAGCCTTTCAAAAATCTGTTCAGCACAAGGGTCTTTAAAAAATAATTTGTAAGTTCATACATTAGTATAGCTCTTTTCAAACAGTAAAAAAAAAGAAGACTCATCACCATATCACATGTTTAATATCATGTTAGTTAGAATTGTTATAAAATTAGATATTCAATTATAACATAGAGAAAAAAGCATAAGGTTTGATATGACCATGGTATTTTTTTTAATCCAAAAATGAATGAACAGGATTATTTCTTTATGCATTTAACACTTTGTGGGCTTTAATGACCTCCAGGTCCAGCTATTAGTGACTACCAGTGGCGGGGTAGTGGTGCTTTCCTGGCCTCCCATTGTTGACATTACTGCGGCTAATAACAGGACCTCAATCTTTGATTCTTACATACAAGCGTGGGTGACTGTGTTTTCATGTCTGAATTTCAGTAGTTTCTTTCAAATACAGGTCTCTGTTGGCACACATCATCACGCTCTATGCATAGGTGAAGCATCAGTTATGAGAAAAACATCACAGATAAAAACAAACAAGTATTATTTATCAGAATAAGCACTCTCACTATGGCCATTTGAGTCCATTTGATTGTCTGTTCTGCTTACTTATGTGAGACACATAGAAATAAATCTTGTTTTATCTCACTGGAAATACTTTATTTTGGTAGGGAGGAGGAATAGGAAAAGGAAACAAAATTGTAATGAACAACAAATGCTGTTTTCTTGTCCAATCATAACACATTCTCATTCAGATTTCTGCACATAAAAATTACCTGTGTGTGACCTTCTCTTTAAATACAGTAATGTAGAAGATGGCACTATGCGATTAAAGTTTAAAATGTATATGTATTTATATTGGCTTTTGCCATACATCTGTATGAATGATTTTCTTTATCTGATAATAGCTACATTACCCATCTAATTACATCTCCCTCTCCCTCTTGTTTTTGATAAAAGAAGGCAGTTCTTAGACATTTCCATAACTGGATATTTAAAATTGAGGTTAGTGTTGTTTTTCATTGATATTGTCAAGTTGTTCAGGGTATTACAAAGAATAAAAGTAATGGTGTCCTTTTATTAAAGAACAAAGGCACCTTCACGTAACACCCACAAACCTGATCTCCACTATTATTCCACAATGGCATACGTGAGCTGGCATTCTGTGGAAATTACTTCACCCTATAAAAGGAAAGCCATCTTGGATTTTGGGATGGTGAAGAGACAAATACAGTGGTACCTTTGGATGCGAACGGGATCCATTCTGGAGCCCCATTCGCATCCAGAAGCAAACGTAACTAGCGACGGCACGTCTGCGCCTGCGCCCGGCGCTTTTCACCGCTTTGCGCATGTGCGTGACGTCATTTTGAGCATCTCCGCATGTGTGAGCGGCGAAACCCGGAAGTAACGCGCTCCGTTACTCCCGGGTTGCTGCGGAGCGCAACTCGAACACGCTCAACATGAAGCATATTCAACCTGAGGTATGACTGGACTATGTTTCACAGTCAGTTCTTATGTAGTGGGAAATCTTGGTACAGAGGTCCTCCAGGCCACCAGCAGCACCTACGCGTTGGAAGCTGCGTAAGCAATGCCACCCTGCCTGCACTCTTCTGCTGGCTGCTACTAATTTACCGTAATCCATAGGAAGTGCAGTGAGGTAAGAAGGGATTCCCAGGACCACTGCTTGAGTAGCACATTTAATCTCCATGGCTGCAGCTCAATGGAGATAACAAATTGTGTGCACTTGTCCACCATTACAATTTCTTCTTCACAGAACTCCTTAGACTACTTTGCAGAACACGGGGACTGTGACGAAAATGGACTCTGTTTATTTGGATTCAGCTTTTATAGGAACTGTTGTTTATTATAAGAGAATGCATCTCCTACTTGGCTGTAGGGGAATTATAGGTTTAATGTGCTATACCTGACCTACCCTGAGGCTCAGTTCAGAAGGCAGTAGAACTTCATGGTGGATGTGAGAGATGGCACCTCTCTTGTCTGAGGGTGGTAAAATTAAAAGGCTCCTAGGCATCTCGTCATCTGTAACCGCCAATTCTTTTCCTAGAATACTCTTTGAGAAATGCTGCTTTAGTTACTGATCCATAATGGAACCTTTCCTCTTATCTGATAACTGCAAAGTTTATTCAGGAGTCTGTGGTGAGGGATTTTATTGAAAGCTCTTTGAAAGTCTAAGTACACAATGTAGACTGGATTAGAGCTATCATATGCTTGTTGATGCTCTGCAAAGAATTCTAAAAGGTTAGTGAGGTAGGACTTACCCTTGTAGAAGCCAAGCTGGTTCTGTTTTAGCAAGACTACTTTTTTCAAAAAAAGAAAATACAACAGATATAAAGCTGTAAAGTAAATCAACGAATACTCCTCCTAAACAATTCACAACTGGAAAAGTAAACAAACAGAAACATAGGTAAAGTAGAATCCGAACATGTACTGAACTAACACATGAATGAATAAATGAAAGATCCATCTCATTTAAAGCACTTCCAATGAACATTTAAAGCACATGACATATCCCAAAGAATCCTGGGTATCAGACGTGCTGCCTTGCACCCATGACAGTGAGTGCCCGGAGCTTGCTGACATCACCATGGTGTGTGCACATGCTGACATGACGTTGGCACACCCTGCAGCGTGCTGACATCACGCATGTGGCGGGAATGTGCGCACGCTGCCAAATAGAACCTTTGAGGTCCTGGCCCCTTCATAAAAAAAATTGTGGGTGCCTGGGCACTCAGGGCCCTGCATAGCTGGCGCCTTTGCTGGGAATTGAAGTTTTCTCCTGACAGAGCTGCAGTCTCCAGCATCCTTCACAAACTACAGTCCCCAGGGTTCTTTGGGGGACGTCATGTGCTTTAAATGTGATTTGGACATGCGTTAAATGTGTGGTGTAGACCTGCCGCCAATCACAATTAAAAATTGCATTAACCATAAATCTTACAGTAAAGCAGGCATGGGGAATCCCTGGACCACAGACCCAATTAGGCCTTGTAAGGGCCCAGTTGTGGCCTGCAAGGCCATTTCCCCAAGGCTACACCCACCTTCTCCACACCTCGCAGCATATAGTCTCTTTAATCCTTCATCCTGCCATTTCTTCCTATCTTTCAGAGTAATCAGGGCTTGTTCTTCATTATGCCTGACAATTCCATCTTTAACAATGCTTTCCACAAGTTTCCCAAGAACAGATGTTAACCTAACAGCCATGTAATTTCCCAGATCCTCCCAGGGTCCCTTTTTGAGAAAAATTGTGTTGCATTGGCCACATTCCTGTCCTCAGGAATGGTTGATTGAGTAGTTATTAGTAGCTCCACAGGACTTGAAATACTGGATAATATTGCGTGTGTGATCCCATTTCCTCAAACACATATGCAGCAGAAAGGAAACAGATGTCATCCGTTTACAAATGCCAAATTGTGCAACACCACATGTATCCATAATGCAAGAGGTTTTGAAATAGCATGAATACACTGCTAAAGCAAGCTGATCATATGAAAACTCAAGTTTTAAACTCTATAATGAGATTGGCCAACCTTTTTCCCTGACAGGGGGAATATATATTGGTGCCTATATTGCCCGGAGCCAGAGCTTAAGTCAAAAGTGTTCTGGATTGCTCCTTTTGTGGTGGAATTACACTGAAAGGAGAGAGGGACAAAACTCTTGGACATAAAAAGCCCTGGAAAATGCTATAATACAAGAAAGCTTCCGCCTCCTCGTGGACCATCTAGTCTAATGGATCACTGCAACTCATGAGGCTGTCTCCATGTAAGGCATCTTCACAAAGATTAAAGCAGCTCGCTGAGTCACTTGAGAATGCAAACGTTAAACTTACATTGTCCAGAAATGCTCATGTAAATTTAAAAATGTCCCCCACATTCTGTCAAACGATAACAATCAGATGATAACATAAATAACAAAAGAAAAGCTTCATGTATGAAACCAGTGGTGTCTGTGGGATATTCCCTTCTACATAATGAGGACTTCCTCACTCAAGTAGGTAGATAAGTTGAATTTTTGTAGAAATGTAAGACTCTGTCTTTTTAAAAATAGTTTTTGTTTTTTATTCTTTTCAGTCAACCAGATGTCAGTGCAAAAGAGGTTCTCTTCGAATTTAAAGAATCTGAGCCCAGGAATTTCTGTTTTAAGTACCAGAATGGAACATCTGCATAACAATCGACTCCGGGTCGTCATCGTCCCTCCCGGACTACTTTCTTCATTTCAGCAGTATAATTTTGGGGTAGGGTGGGAGTGGGGTAGTTGTTGGGATTGTTTAAAAAAACTGAGAGTCGGAAATCCTTGTTGATCTACTTCAAATCACCCCAAGATCTACCAGTAGATACTGATCTACCTTCTGGCCACCCTTGCATCAAGAGGGCAAAGTATAACAATATTGAACACATTTCATTAGTAATATATCTGACCTCTAGCAGTCTCCGAAGCTGAGCTCCTTCCTGAATTGCAGATTTATTGCTATGCGCTTCTTCAGGGCCTGGCCCAAGGAGTATTTTCCCACACACTTTACATAGCAAAATAAATTATGAAAAACATATACCTTTTATCATTTCTTGAAATTTCATTCTGAATATAAGCCACATTTCCCCCCCCCCAAATTTGGGCCGTGAAAAGTTAAAGTGTGGCTTATATTCGCAACCTTACCATGCCCTCCCCCCCAAGGAAGCAGCCCGGGAGCACAGGGCCATGGTGTGCAGCCTGCCCAGCACTCCCAAGTCTCCCCCGGCACCGGCTTGGTGAGGTAGTGCCAGGAGTGCCATAATGCTGGGAGGTGGGCTGCACCCACAAATAAGCCTTGAATTTTAAAGACGTGGCTTATTTGCAGGTGTGTCTTATATTTGGGGCAATACGGTAGATTCAGAAATTGTGTCAGATCTCATCTGTGGCTGATTTCTTTAGCGCTGTCTTTATGCAGCAATATAAAGGTTACATGAAGAGAACACAATCATTCGTACAGGATATGTCATCTCCAAACTTGGCAACCCTCAAATAAAAAATATGGAGTGTTATGGTGAGATTAACGATGATGATACAAATATTGTTCTTGCCCTATTATATGTCACTAGAGTTGTGCAGTTTTCAAAAGGCAGTTGTTGACAGTTGGTTTGCATATATAAATACAATTGTATGGAAGCCTTGACTCTTATATAAATAGCAGTGGTAATTGCACTGATCAGTGGAGAGACTAAAAGACTAAAACTGGGATACTTTGTTAGCAAACTTGATTATTTACTCTGGTGTTATATCTACGGTTCACCCTGGAAGGTCCAAAACTTCAACCAGTATAAACATTATACACAGCACTTGCATGAATTTTAAGAGCTAAGTTTGGTTGCTTTACCCCTCCAGCCTCACTTTGTTCAAACCTCTGTCGTTGTTTAATACTGCCACTTTCCTGTGCTCTCCATCCCCTCTCCCACCCTGACTTCATGCAAATCCAGGATTGTGATGCAGCAGCACAAATCCTCCAACAGCAGCTGTGCAAAGACAGCCTTACAAGTTTATGTATATAGGTATGTGTGTGTGTGTATCCTAGATCCCTAGGTTACTTAGCACCAAACACAGCAATTATATCAGTAATGAATTTGTCCATCCATGTCAAATAATAAAACGTTTTAGTGATATAGGTATGTATGTATCAGGCTCAGAGTACCTATTTAGCATTCAACAGACTAACTTGCCTTCCAAGGTTTTGGCACGCTTTTCCCTTTCAAATTAATTTGTGTGTTAATCCCTTGCAAGAAATCAATTTGAGTCCAAAAGCTCATTAGTTTGAATATATATTTTTAATTAGAGTATGGTTAGCTTTGCTTTTTTAACTCCACCAATTTCCCCCCCCAAAGTGAGCAAGCATCTGGGCAGTAGAATAACAATGGGTTTGGGTTTGTTGTTCTTTGCTGCCACTCCCTTTTCTTCCAGTTGCCCCTCTTGTTTCTTAGTGGCAGTCTGAGATTGGAAGTGTTATCTCTAAGTGGGTGTGCTTGAATAATCCACATTTGGCTCCAGAATATGGCATGGATCCTAAAATGACTGTATAGAAGGAAATCACAGAAGGAAAGTGTCCCATCCTTCCATCCCACTGCAATCACTGGCACTCCCTGAAAAGCCTCTCCAGAGGGCAATGGGGACCCCCCTGAAAAATATGGAGTGGGAGAAAGGAGCTAATAGGGGAGGGGGAATCAACCAAAATCAAGCAGAGATTCTCCAAATTTTGGCTGATTCTCCTCTCCCACTGTACTCCCGCCCCATTATTATTCAGAAGGGCCACAATCCTCTGGAGAGGCTTTTCGGGGATTCAGGCAGGTGCCTTTTGTTCACTTATCTTAGAATCGGAGCCTATGAGAGCAATCTTGTGCACACTTACGTGCGAGTAAATTCCACTGGACACAGTGGAACATAAAAAGGTAAAGGACCCCTGACAGTTAAGTCCAGTCGCGAATGACTCTGGGGTTACAGCGCTCATTTTGCTTTACTGCTGAGGTAGCCGACGTTTGGCGGCAGACAGTTTTTCCGGGTAAAGTGGCCAGCATGACTAAGCCGCTTCTGGTGAAACCAGAGCAGCGCACGGGAATGCCGTTTACCTTCCCGCCAGAGCAGTACCTATTTATCTACTTGCACTTTGATGTGCTTTCAAACTGCTAGGTTGGCAGAAGCAGGGACCAAGCAACAGGAGCTCACCCCATCGCGGGGATTCGAACGGCCGACCTTCCGATCGGCAAGCCCAAGGCTCAGTGGTTTACACCACAGTGGCACCCGCGTCCCTATATAGTGGGACATACTTCTGAGTAAATATGCATAGGATCCTGCAGCATAGCAACCAGTTGTGCTTCAATGGAACCTGAACAATTCACATTTTTGGAAGAACCCAGTGAACTGCGGTTGGTGGAAACTTAGTTGATGAAACCTTGCAAGAGGATAGAAGTGGAGTAGGTTTCTTTGAAGATAAGGGACTCAAAGAGCAAATTGATGAGTGAAGCAACCCAGGATGTTTTAGTAAAACTGGGGAGACTTGCTTGCAAGCAGTAGCTTGGGAGGAACAGAAGGGAAGAACTGAACTCCTCCTATTAAGTTATTTCCAGTTATCCTTTCAAGTGTCTCTTGCTGTGAGTCATCCTCAATTTTGCAAAAGTCCTGGTTTCTTTTTATGTGTTGAGAATGAGATTGTCAAGGGGTTAAGAGGAGGACATGAGGCTTTGGAAAGAGGAACAGCTTTTTAAAAAACGAAAACAGTTCGAGATTTCTTGTAAAAGGATATTGAAAATGTGTGTGGCCAGCCCAAATGGTCTTTTTTTGCTACTCTTTCCCACTACATTATAATTCCACATTGCCCAAATAGTTTTTCTTTTAAAACAGAAGCAGATTTGGGAAGTGAAGGAGCATCTGGCAAGTAGCATTTAACTATAAGAAAATAAAAAAAGTTCAGCTGGATCCAAAGGCCGCCTGGTCCAACATTCTGTTCTCACAGTAGCCAACCAGATACCTATAGGAAGTCTAACAAAGGACCTTAGTTACCACAGCATTGTTCCCAGTTATGATTCTGAGAAACTGGAATTCAGAGGTATACAGTGGTACCTCTGGTTAAGAACTTAATTCGTTCCGGAGATCCGTTCTTAACCTGAAACTGTTCTTAACCTGAAGCACCACTTTAGTTAATAGGGCCTCCCGCTGCCGCCGCGCGATTTCTGTTCTCATCCTCTTAACCTGAGGTACTGTTTCTGGGTTAGCGGAGTCTGTAATCTGAAGCGTCTGTAACCTGAAGCGTCTGTAACCCGAGGTACCACTGTACTGCCTCCTGCAGTAAAGCATAACGGTTGTAGCTGCTATTCACTGATAGCCTTCTTCTCCATGAATTTGTCTAATCCTTTTTTAAAGCCATCCAAACTGATGGCCCTCACTGCATCTTGTGGGAACAAATTATGTAGTTTAACTATGTGCTCTGTGAAGAAGCACTTTCTTTTCTGTCTTGAACCTTCCAAAATTCAGCTTCAGTTGATGGCCCCAGGTTCCAGTATTATGAGAGAGGGAGAAAAAGCTGTTTCTATCCTCTTTCTGCACACATGCATTTGGAACTTTTGCTGGAGAAAAACAGCTAATTTGGAGTAGAAAAAATTACCAGTAGAGAGAGATAAGCGCTGTGGTTTCCCTTGAAAGAGGTTCCTGTTTTTCTGCCTCATTCACTGGGTGTTTCTTTACAATTTTGGTGGGTGCCGGGTTGCGCTTACCATATAATTTCAAAGTAGACAACATGTGTGAGTGTGTCGCTCTCTGTGTCTGTTTCTTTCCATTCAACAGTTCTCCAGTGCTCTGCAGCTTCTCTGGCTATCTGTGTTTCCTGGGCTTGTTTGTTCATACAACTCCAACTACCTGCATGACACTTCCAAAAGTATTAGAGGAGAAGTCCCTGCACTGAGGAACATCCAATTGATAATTCACCACGGGGGAAACAACAGAGGAATCAGGAAAATGGAAGCAGGTAATCTGGCCTACGTTTTATAGAGTCTGCAGACTTCTGAAAATGGCAAACATATGTTTTTCCTTGTGTCAGCTTGAGATTTGGAGTCCATTTATTCCTAGTGCTTCCAAACGGGACCTTAATGTTCAAACAAATCACTGAGGTATCATAAAATAGTCATTGACAATAAGGTTTTGTTTTGTACTGTACTAATAATATTTTAAGATGTATTGGATTGCTCCCCAAAAGGGTAAATTCTGATTAAATGCAGGGGAAAGATGCTAGGTGACTTTTAAATGCCAACAATGTTGTTTTGGCCATGCAAGAAACTTGCATGCAGGAGGCACGCCGATCCTACATTAAGCACCAGTTTGGAAGCACCTTCAGTCTCTGTTCTGTTTTCTTTCTGTCATATTCTCTAATTCTTTGAGTTTTAGATTATTTTCTGAAAAACGAGAGTTGTTACTCGCTTTGGTCAATAAGAAAAAAGAAATTAAAGGAAGCCTGTATTTGTTGAAGCTGAATTCAAATACTGAGAGTTGTATTTTATAGAAAATAAATGGAAATCTTTTGTGTTCAATTTGAAATTTCCTTTCTCTTTTTTTTAAAAAAAAGTCATTTCTCTAGAATGATATTTTGTCAGTAATCGAGTCAGAATAATATGTCCATTATTTTAATACTTTGATCACAAGCCACAAAGCAGAGATTTGGAGTTATTGACTGTTTTGCTTACTTTGGTGTTTCAAAAACTATCTCTAAAGGAGGAGCAGGATTTAATTCTCTGCCAGTTGGATCATCAGCGTCTGCATTCAGATGGCTAACAGGTTTGTTTGGGGCTTTCATAGAATAAAAATGGATGTGCTGCATGCTGAATTTTGATTATGAAAACATTTTGACAGATGTTTCCAGACAGACATGAAAGAATTAGACCCTTTTATCACCGCAAAAAAATAACAACAAAACCCTGAGGTGGTTTCAGTTTACATGCTCAAGATTCTTTTATCAAATCTATTACCCATTTTCTTGCCTGGGTGTGCAAAATTTGCTTGTGATGATCACCAACTGAAATTAATTCTTAAGTATTAGTGTGTATAGTTGAGAATTTAAGTGCTGTATTGTCCAGTGGTTAGAGTTCTGAGAATAAAATGGGGTGATAGCTTGCTTCTTAAAAGGGCTTTTACAGTGTATTATTACACTGTAAGGAAAGTATGGTATTTTCAGTCACAAACCTACAGTTCCAAGTGCTGCACACACTGTTTAAATCACCTGGGAGTCAATGGGATTTAAGCCTCATAACTATGTTCAAGATTACTCCCTAACATAATAAATTAGTCTATCAGTACATACTCTTTCTTGGAAGTAAGTGCCACAAAGCTCAATGGGGCTTGCTCCCAGGTAGATAGCATAGAATTGCTGTCTTAATTAGCTTTCCTTTTTGACCCATAAAAAATCAGAATAAGGGTGATTTAAAAAGGACATTGACTTGTCAGGAGTCACCACATTTTCAACTTTTATTTAATAGATCTTGTCTACATTGAAGTGAGCTATTACAGCTGCCCGAAAAGAAAGCACTGTTTGATGTCTGTAAGCATAGTCAGCAATCAATAATTTGAAATTTGTGCCATTTGTACCTTTAAAAACTGGCACGTCGTTTTTTATTCCATTTAATCTGCTTACTGTAGATGAAAGTGGGGGTTGAACTGATGCCACAAAGAACATTTACTCATGAAATGGTGCTCGTTTATCCAGCAGTAAGTATATCATTTTGACATTTATTTGCAATATTAATTGTACTTATTGATTAAATTTTTGCACATATTGTAAATTGATTCAAAATACCGCAGAAGGTGACATTATTCTGGTAGCTGTGTGCTGCTATGGTAAATAATCACAATAAAAAGCATATTGTCCGTTAAATAATATTTTTTAAAAGAAACTGTAAAACATAGAGCTAATAAATTAAAATCTTCTACATATTTCATTCCTGGCAAATTGGAAATGGAATGATGAAACATTAAATTAAATTAAGACCTCTAGAGGGGATCACATTGCAAAGCATGCTTATATTGACCGCATCTGCACTACACTTTTAAAGCAGTATCATACCATTTTAAGCAGTCAGAGCTCCCCCCCCCCCCATTATGTGGAAGGTAGTTTGTTAAGGGTGCTGAGAGTTGTTAGGAGATCCCTATTCCCCTTCACAGAGCTACAGTTCCTAAAATTCCCCGAGAAGATGGATTGACTGTTAAACCACTGTGGAAATTGTAGCTCTGTGTGGGGAGTAGGAGGTCTCCTAAAACCTCTCAGCACCTTTAAAGAACTACAGTCCCCAGGATTCTTTGGGGGATGTCATGACTGTTAACAGTAGTATGATACTGCTTTAGATACATAGTACAGATCTCTATCCTGCCCCACCACCTTGATTGCTTTGATAACAGACTTTGAGCCCTGAACCCAGAGATCAGCCCATATAGCGGTGGAACACATGCTTGGTGCTCCTTGTGTGACTCTGGTTTCCCACTCCAATCCAGCAGTCAGATGATGGGCTCCGTTGCTGGATCAAGGAGGCTGTCTGAAGACCACAACAAATCTTACGTTAACAGAAGCGGGTGATAGAATCCCATGAGGTATACTCACCATAGCAGTATCAATTCTCAGTAGTTTTATGGCTTATGCATCCAAATATGGCATCACCTGAATAAAATAAGGAGGTATTGGCTGACTCAGAGGAATTTCCAAGTTTGCTTGCAGAAATACTATGTTAAATTTTTTAGTAAAAAACTTAAAGCTGTGAGGGCTCTACCCCATTTCCTTCTCAATGTAAGCCAGTTGAGACTGAGCATTCTTTGTGGCCATGGAATGCTAGCTGACTGTTGGGGAGGCAGGGGAAACTCAAAGTCAAGTGGGACAGGGAATATAATGGAGTGGAGTATCTAGAATCCTGAATGGGAAGCACTTCATGCTGCAGTATATTGTGGCAGGTCCAACCTTGTTTATTTACCCTAATGAGTCTTAGGACTTTAAACCCTTAAGGATCTAATCCACAAGAATAATTAGTGTAGCTACAGGACAGCATTTAGTAACCATGCAGAGATTTGGGTGATTGCTGCTAATCATTAGCAGGCAGATGTCCCCCAATTCTCCCTTGACCTGCTTTCCTGCTGACTAACTCTCCTGCTCTGTGCCACATTCACGAATGCTCCAGGCCCAGTGGGGCTGGGGAGAGGAGATCTCTGATAATATCTGCCAGTTGTATTTTGTGCTGCTAGCTTCAGCTGGTTGTATTTTTTACTGCTAGCCTTTGTATCCTTATTCTGCCACTAGAGAAGAAGAATCTCCAAAGCAATGGAAAGTATGTGTCATGTGATATGAGTTACAACATCTAACTATTACATTCTGCCACAGTCTGCCTGGAAATAAGAAATGGGCAGTCCACAGGTTAACTTAAACAATAAAACTTCTGGGAGAGGAATGGCATGAACTCGTCTTTGGGGCTACTCAGACATAACACGGAATTAAACCAAGGTTTATCTGCTAAATGTTAGCATTACGACCATAATCAGGCTTGAGCCTTGGGTTCACACATTCCTTCCTAGTTCCCCTTTCTCCTTCCTTGGCACGGAGATTAGAAACTTCCAGTCACAAGCAAGTAGCAAACTACGGTTTGGTATTTGGCCATACCCAATTAACTGTGGTTGACACAAACCATTACTTGCTTGCAAATCAGGATTTCAAACCATAGTTTAATCCTAGTGTTCAGGCAAATAATAGTTTCTCAGGTTTGGTTGGAATGACAAATTATGGTTTCCTTTGCTAAACTCGTAATGGAAGGTGAGGAGGAAGGGGAAAGGAAAGAGTGTACAAGCTTTGACTCATTTGTTTGTTCTCATACCATTAAATCATAATTTAGCCTTACGTCTGAATGCAATTCTTATGCCCCAGATACAATATATGTATGCACACATAAATATACACATACCTATATATTACCTGACATGTGAAAAGCCCACCTTCTGTAGACTAGTGAGAGCCACTGTGTGCTGCCTGGGAGCAATATGCCTTGGAAATGAAATGTGACATTTTCCACTGAGTTATTATAGCCACTAAAATAAATGACACTAGATAGAGAAAGCCATGTCAAAAATAAAATTAAACATACAGGAAATTAATCCGTGCAGAACCAATAGCAAAAATTATGGTTCTCTTTCAAAGATGGTGTGGTCTGCTACACTCACTCACAATTATGGCTATGATTGGCTTTGCAAAGCTTCCTCTCTCCCCCCCCCCATGCCAATTCTCTCCCTCCAAGTGCAATTCTGGCTCAACCACTTAAACTGTGAATAAACAGCATTTTCTCCAGACACATCATCTTTCCTGCTGACTCCTCCTTTTCGTTTCGATTTTAATACAATGAAGAGTTGCTGGAGCTCTCATCTTATGCCTTATGTAAGATTTTCTTCAGTGTAATTTCACTGAATGTCCAGATGGAGAATAAAAATAGTACTTTATTAGAAGGGCAGGGGGCTTTGATGGATAGGCATTGCCCACTCATCAGACTGCTCTGGTAGTTGTGGAAATTAAAAATGGTTCTCCCACTTGTACCCAGACCTGAGCTGAAAATCGTACAGAATATCTACTTGCTAGGCTGTTTTAGTCCATGCCACAAAAACTTCAGATATTGAGAACTTTGGGGATTACATAGGATATGCTTATAAGAGCACGCACAAAATAAAGCTGATCACAGTCATTAGCTTAAAACTACATATTTCGTAGCTAATAATTCCCGCTCCCCAAAAATGTGCATTTGAAACAAAATGCTGATTTTATAAAAAGATACCTGCAGATGACAAGCACCTAAAGAGACACCCTCTCTCCTTTCACACACAGGACTTCTATGATAGACGTGTGCATTGCCTAAAAAGAAATTGCATTGCCTAAAAACAAAGAAAATGTGTGTCTTGGTTCAGAACCATTGTTTCCAGCCCTGTGCAAATATTATTCAATAGACTGATATGGATAATTGGTAAATGTGTCTTTAATCAGAGTCCTAACCGTTGTGGATTAGTGGTTTTCAATCTTCTTACACCCAGGGGTCCCCTTGACTTTTGTGTTGAAGATGCTGCTGGAGTCTGCTCTAGAATGCTTGCTCAGTTCATACAGAGTGCTCCCCATGCCACTGAGGCTTCATTGATGCCTCTTTGGTACTGAGAGAGCACCCTAAGCATACTCTGCATGATGCAGGGGAAGGTGGCCAGTGATGGGGGTCTTTCAGGGAAGCTTGTCCACCATGACTGATCTTCTTATTGGGGAATCTTAATATCCCTGTAAGGAACCACAGGATTCCCTGCAACACCGCAGACAGCAAGGATCCTCTCAAAATACCACTTGCATTATCCACTTGCATGTTTCCCCTCTTTATGCAAGCCATAGATTCTTTAAGCCACAGCTAGGGGGCTCTGCTTGTCCATCTTTCAGCTAACAAGGCCCTACTGGGCAAAAGGGATAGGAACAGGTCACCTGAAAAGTAACTTCTTTCTCTAGGTCTTAAAGAAAGTCCTAAAGTCTTAAATAACAACCCAATCTCATTAATTACATCATTTTAATAAATGACTTGGTATTTCTCTATATATTTAATTCATGTGTGTGTTTTTATTTAATGAAAGATTTAGGAGTTCCTTCATTATTAAGGTTATTCTGTATTAGAATCTTTAATGGAATTTAGAAACTAGCACTGTAATTCTATGCATATTTCATCAGAAGTAAGTCCTAGGTGAATTTCCTCCGAAGAATACACTTTAGGTATATATAGAATTGCAGTCTAAACCATATTTAGAAACAAATGTGTCAAGTGTAAGAGAATCTGTTTTTAAAGAACATATTACTGTATTTTTCCGTCTATAAGACGCCCCCTATTTTGGGGGACTTCAAGAATATGGGGAAGATGTATCCATGTATAAGACGCCCCCTAATTTTTGACATTATTTTTTAGGAAAAAACCTACTCTTATACACGGAAAAATACGGTATTTAATTAATTGTGTATAAAGCTTGGACGTTTAGAGAAACAATTATTTTTGCAAGTTATAAAACTGCATAGGTCTAACTACAATCCACTGGTGGAACATTACAAATGCAAACATTTGCTAGATAGTGGGATCAGCACATCACATAGAACAATGTCTGAACCATGCTACCATGCCTGCAAACAAACACACAACTTGTCATCTGTCTCCAGGCTTGCTAAAAAAACACACCTCTCAAACCTCTTTCCAAAGACATATCAGTTTATTACACTATTTCTATCCTGTCATTTTTGAACCAGTGAGTCTGCAAGGCAGGTAACAGACTTGAATAGAACAAGAACAAAATACCTATTAAAACAATAATTTTAAAAATACAAAAAACCCCCAAGAAAACCAGCCAGCAACTAATTAGGCAGCAGTAAACAAACATCAAAATCCCAGATGAAGAAAACAAAACAAAGCAGCAGAGTATCCAGAGAAAGCAGGATGTTTAAAACAATACAGTCTAAACCGCTTGATGCTAAAAAGCTAACAGACGAGAACAAGCTTCACAAGGAAGAGATCTCCAAATCATCTATTGTACTGCAACAAGCCTGTGTCTTTCTCTAGTTGACCAATGGTAGAGGGATCTAGAGTAAGGCCTCTGTGGAAGAACTTAAAAATGTTAGTGGGTGTGTATGGGAGAAGGTGGTCCTTTAAGTATCCTGGAGCCAGATCATTTAGAATTGTGACGGGATGGTCCTTCAGATGTTGTTGGACTCCAACTTCCACCAGCTCCATTCAACAAGGCAATGGTCAGGGATAATAGG